TTCCAACCGACGGGCCTGTTCCTCCTGTTGGCGGGCATGTGCCTCCTGTCCGCGCTGCAGCTGCTCTTCCAACCGACGGGCCTGTTCCTCCTGTCGGCGAGCCTGTTCCTGCAGCATCATCATCAGAGCACCTAAGTCAGGTGCTGTAGATGCAGGAGCTGATGACGGACCGGCCTCCGTGGTCAGCAGCTGGCCCTCCGATGTTTGCGGCGTTGTATTACCAAATTGTCTCTGGTCCGGTTCCAGCTGGCGTTGACTTCGGATACGGATACCCTCCATGTCGTCCTTTGGTAAAATCGGCATGATTTAATCCCACTTCTGACACCAATTGTTACGAGCTTGGGGTTCGAGATAATTAAAAACTGCCGAGTGAATTACCAAAATTAACTATTTAATTACACAACACTAATTACAACTTAAAATCACACTAATAATAAAAAACAATCACTTTAGTTCGCAGTTATTTCGCTGCGAAGTATTCTCTTGTATCGCCAATTCAATACTGCCCCGGTCGTGGTTTATACCGGCCTTATATAGGGCCTCAGATAGTTTCCAGAACCTTCTACTGTAGCGACATCTAGAATGTTCGAGTACATATCGGTCCCGAAATTTCTGGAAGGATCTTGACTCTCCTAGTTCTGCTACTCGACACTAGAGGGCGCTAGTGTAACTAGTGTTGCCATGTACAAGACATTAATAGTGGCGCGCAACAATATTATAGAAGATATTAATACTTCTAACGAATGAAATCCAATGAACGAAAGTTACTACATCGACAAGACAATTTTATGGAGATTAACTTTGCTCTTGATAGCATTTTATTTGGATGCGTAGTTTAAGAGCTAATGACAAATTAAAATAATTCAACACTTGGCTCTGTGCGCGAAAGACGCACAAGCCTAGTTGACCGATAATAACCGAGAGAAACCTTCAGTGAATGCCAGTTTTTTTTTATAGAATAAGGGTGGCAAACGAGCACACAGTCCACCTGATGGTATGGTAAGTGTTTGCTGTGGCCCATAGACATCTACATCTATCTTCGTTTGCGAATTAAAATGCAGATGCATTGTCAGCCGTAAGAATTAAGATAGAATGCCATTTTTCCAGTAAAAAGGATCTCCGATTCTCTACACTCACCATACGAAACACATCAGCATTAAGCTGCTATTTTACGCTGGTATTCTGTGTTACAACTTTATTATTAAAATAGCTGCAGCATGGCTCTACCACGTATTAAAACGCAAGGTGTCATAACTTATAGGCGTGAGTGAGGTGTCCGAGAGTCCGGTATCTGAGAATAGAGAAAAAATATATTTCGAAGACATGTGAAGTTCGCCAACACGCATTGGAGCAGCGCGGCGGACATTTCCTTGCCCTAAAACCCTCTCGGAAGTGAGAGGATGCCTGTGCTCTGCAGTGGGACGTATTAGGTAAGGTTCAAAGGTTTCACTGAACTCGACTATCCACCATATAGCCCCGAATTGACCCTATTATATTATTTATTCTTAAAATTGAAATTAAACTTACGGAGAAAAAAAATTAACACTGATGATGAGGTGAAGTCAGCAGTTTTGTCACATTTTAAGGGCAAAATTCAGTCTATTTTTTTACCAGTATAGAAAAGTTAGTAAAGCGCTGTGAAAAGTGTATTTCAATAAAAGGAGATTATATCTAAAAATAATTATAGTAGTTTGACATCTATCCTTCATTTTATAGTTCAGCCTAGAAACTATTGGACCTTACTATAGGCTCTAACTTTAACTTTATGGAGGTGTCATGTCGCGCGGGTCAGACGCGTGATTTACGCGAGTGAAACCGCGGGACACAGCTAGTGTACATTATAGAAAAGCAAGTACATCTTTTGCTAAACTTTCAATTCAAAAACCAATTTTATAACATAGAAATTATATTAAATTTGACAAAAAATTACTTTGCGTACATCCGCTAGATAAAATAAAATGATGTGTCTTACCTAGTTTGAAGAGCACCTCCCGCCCTCCCTCATTTGTGTGCACTATCCCCGTCACCACTAATCCCAGCACCACTACTCCCAACACCACTACACTAGGAAAGACACACCACTGACGACAATACAACACGTGTTTCGCCTCTACACGAGGCATCCTCAGGTGATATAGACTCTACAGAGGCTAACCGCTGAGTGATTCGATTAATTATAGAAATTATAATTAATAATATTTATTTCAGTTTATGACAACCATGACTACATGGCTGAAATTAGGTATTTCTTATTTGGTACCCTAAAACCAAATTACAGCCTGACGACTAACATTATGCACTGCATATGTCTAGCATATCTAATTACAGCCCTATTATTTCCCATTAAAATAAAATAAAATTCTTATAAATTTATTAAAAAATAACTGCATTACTATGTCTATAATCATATTCATGCAAGTTACAAAGCCTAAACATACATATAATTTACAGCATAAGCATTAGTCTGCTTGATAGTTTAGATAAATGGGGGCCCACTAAAACTTTGCGTCAGAGTGATGCCAAGAAAAACAGAGGATTCAACAGGGTTCAGTTCTTCCCCGTGTAAAAACACATTGGTATTCAGATTTTTTTTAACATTAGTTGTTGTAAATTTAATACGTGTAATTTAATAGTGTAAAACTTCTACGTAAATCGGACCAAAAATTAATATTAAAAAACTGAAGGTAGCCGGGCTAACTATGACAGCAGGACGTCAAACACCTCAGTCCCCCGTGACCACGGGTGCTGGAAAGCACCCGAAACGTCGGGAATATAAAAATAGATTAATATACGCGATAAAATCCGTAAAATTAGTTTTATTTAAAAATTTAATACGTTTAGTTTTATTTCTGTTTAAATGTAGATTATTAACGTTAAGCCAATGACTAATTTTGATATAGCATTATTCACTTCGTCACATTTAAATGATTGACGTTTAAGTTTAAAAAGAAAGGAAGTATCATCAGCAAATGATACAATGTCATGGTTATCTCAAGGGAAAGTAAGTCATTAATGTACGCTAAAAATGGGAATGGGCCAACAATGGAGCCTTGAGGGACACCCATTTGTACGAGAGAGAAGAACTTTCTGCATTCTATTACTTAAATATGAAATAATAAATTTAAGCGCTGTGTTCTTGACACCACAGTACTGTAGCTTCCTGATTAATGTCTCATGGTGACACAGTCGAAAGCCTTGGAAAGGTCACAAAATACACCCAAAGCATCCTCTGAATTCTCCCATGCACAAAAAATATGTTTTATAAGCTCAACTCTGGCGTCAGTAGTCGAGAGACCCCTTGTAAAACCAAATTGACTATTTATTTATATTAAAAAAAACTTAACATCTTATCTAAAATAATTTTTCAAAAATTTTACTTAATGGTGGTAGTACAGAAATTGGTCTAAAATTGCCGGGGTCTAATGTACTACCAGATTTAATTAAAGGTATGACTTTACTATGTTTTATTAGATCAGGAAACATATCATAAACGTTAAAACGAAAAAAAATTACTGCATCATCATAATCATCACGCTGGATATGGGCTTGAGCTTAGATTTATGCTCTGGGATGAATTTTTGTTGTATACTTTTTTATGTAAAATAATCTTAATTTGAGGTGGTTAGAAGGTGGTATGTTCCTGCGAAAATGAATGTCTAGCCACTTAAGTCTTGAGCTAAATTGTGATATATGGTCAAACTTGCGCAGTTCAAACATAGAGCATACGGTTGAGTTTGCTAAGAAGCTCCTCAGTTATAGCTCGGTAAGCAATATCAGCATAATCTAAAATAGGAAGCAACACACACACACACAGTGAGTTGACTTACGTAACCTTGGTCACCTGAGGGATAAATTTTTGCCAGAGCTTCAATGGATGCAATGTGCTTGAAATTAATTTCCGCACTTCATTACCACGTAGCGCTCAACTAAGGTTCATGACTATTCGCCTACTTGTCAACTGCAGCAAGATCAAGATTCATTCTGTCACCAAATAGATTGTGAACACAGAAAAAATAAACGGAGATAAAACATTGCCTCGAGGAACATCAAAAACAACTTTACACCATTCGGAGAAATTATAAATCATCAACTAAGTGTTGCTGTCCTCTCGGAACATAGAAAAAAAATTCATAGTCATCACAACGGCTTTACTAAACTCTATAAGATCGGGGATCTCAGTACCAGACTTCTTGCACCTTTAAAACTGCTTTCCATCGCCGATCTGTGTTATTAATGGTTATACTTATACCGCCATTTATAGGAAGCCATAAGATAATTTTTTTTTAAATAATATAATAATCTACGCTTAGGTCGCCTCTTACGACACCCATTGCCCATAGGGTGAAATAGGCCAAGGATGAGACCTTAGGACGCCAACACACGCCCGTGACAAATATCTTAGAATTTTATAAATTTTATATGTAGGTAGTACCTTTTTGGTATCCTGTTGCTTTACTCATTAACTGACAGCGCATATAATACAAGTAACTACATACAAGTAACGAATTTTATTTCTTCATTAATATTAATTTTATACATTATCAATTTATGTGCATATTATGGAAGAAAATCAAAATAGCAAGAAAAGTAAGGTAGTAAAATTCCAAAGAAGATACTACTGTACAATTTGCAAAATATGTACTAATTCTGACAATCAATTCAATCAACACTTAGAAGGTATTCGTCATCGACATAAGAACATAATGTGTAATGTGCATAAAAATAAAAAACAGCTTAATAATCATCTAGAAAACAATGAATGCGATTTGCACCTTTATGTACCAGTCTTTATTTTTATTTTTATAACAACGTATTTCTTTTGTTATGTAATTGTTAAAATAAGTGCATAATGTTAGACAAATTAACATAATTCATGGTCATTAAAAGTGCCTTAAATTTCGCGCCACAATTTTAATTGGCGGAGAAGTCGTTCCCAAGCGTTCACGGCTTCTATGCGCACGAACGAACGCGCAGAACAATGAGGATAGCAATAGCAGCCATTTTATGTCGGTGTCTAAGGAAAACATAATTCGAATGGCCAATCTTAACAAAATTGTGTAATTAGTGTTATAATTTATGTGTTTCTGCACACTCCACCATTATTAGGTGTTTTCAGTTATGTAAGTAGATTTAAAGTTTTGCTATTTATAATAATTCTAAGACAATAAGCGTAATGAAATTTAACATTTTACATATAACATAAATTGAATAACTAATTAAAAACAATAAATATTGAACCAATTCCCATCATAAAGTATGAAAACTATTTGTATGTTCAAATTAAAAGGTTATAATGCATATTTGTTAGCGTTGTTTGTTTACCGAAATTAATATAACTGAACGATTTCAAAGTACCTACGTTCCGTACATTTATGCTTAGAATATGACATAACGTTTATTACTAACACTCATTAAACCTAAAATTTAGCATTGTTTACATAAATCATATTGGTTACTGATCATTTATTGGTTCCTAAACAACCGGCGTCGCGCAGCCTCTTCCTGAAAAGTTGACGACAAAATTCAATACCTAACGAATTGGCCATTTTATTGATGGCCGAGGAGAGGCTGGGTGGAGACGGTCAGGAAGAACATAGTTCACACTAAATTGTTTTCTGAATTATTTTTCCAACAGTACTGAAGGGTAAAACTTTTATACGAATGTTCAATTTATTTATAAAAATAAATTGTACACATTCACAGAAATCAATAAAACTAAAATAAAGCACCCTGCTAATCATTTTTGTCTACCCAAGTTCAATTTATAACTTCTATACTTCTTCTATATTTACATAGATGCATAGAAATTGTTTAAACCATTTTTTTTAGTAGTAGTAGTAGTCTTATATATTTTGTTGTAAACAATACTAATGGAAAATAGTAAACAATTGTAAAATATTGTTTATTTATAACAAAATTACTATGTACAAATTTGAATGATCTTGTTACCAATGAGGTTTGTTTAATACTGACAAAAAGGAACATTTGGGACACAAAAGAAAGTGTGAACGCTTTAATGGTAGGTTTTGTTTATATTAACAGGTTCCCCGTCCAAGATAATGACACAATAGTTAAACAATTGAAATGTTCATATATGATTCATGGGACAGGGAAAGGGTTAATGTACTGTAATTCTACTATAGAATGTTTAAGGGCTAAAGATTGTCTATGTATGTAATGGTTCCAGAGATAAAATATACAAGAAATATAACAAAGCTAAAATTAAAAAGTATATCTTCTATTTCATGTTGATTACACATAGAAAATAAATTATGAAATGATGGTTGTTATTACAAACATTGAAGACATTGCTCATAAAATCAACATCAATTTAAGAAATACTTAAATTTGCTCCCTCTCTTTTTTCACAAAATAACTATAGAAATAAAAAAAGATAAACTTAATGAATATTTATGTTAATTAAAGATTATTGAGTAAGACCATCAGTTTTTATGTTAAGCATTCAGTTGTTTATTCTGTTTTCACACTTATTTGTAGTGTCATATGGTTTCTATGGATCATCAAGTATGTATATAGTCAAATATGTCATACTTGTTAAATTATCTTGACATATTTCAGACTAAAAAAGTTTTCATCTAATAATATGGTTAAGAAATAGAAGCACTTTTTCTGTTTGGGAAGTCTATATGTTTACGATAAAGATGTAACTTTAAAATTAAATAAGTATATTTTAATCTTATATTGATTTTGAAGACGAACATTGAATATATTAAGAAATAGTTGTTAAAATATATTATGTTTTATTTAATGGATTATACTTATTACCTCTGAGCTATTTACATTAGCTTATTTAAAAATATTATAATTGTGTGTAAACTTGATGCTAACAAAATAATTTATTATAAAACCAGTAAAAACAGATTAATAATAAACTATAAAAAAGTACTCAGATATGGATAAATAAAAATATATCTACAAATTTGAAAGTATTTAGGCTAATTGTTACCCTATATGTGCAAAAATTCACAGTTATCACAATTATTATATTTCACTATTTACTTATACTTGCACTATAAGTATATTTCCAATATATAGCATTTCAAACTCAAAATACTTTTAACACAATGTTATATGACAGCTTCATGTACTATGAATTTCCTATATAATAAATGTACTTATAAATGCTACGATAAGTTATTCATTTTATTAGTAATGGATAGATCTTAACTTTGAGGAATGAGATTCACCATCCTACTAAGTTTTTGCTTAAATGTTTTGAATCGGACACAAAAAGAGATATTTCACATGTCTTTGTATTGACAGGTCTGTTTTGCCACAATAAAAAAGCAATCAAATGACTAATTAACTGACCCATCTAAGGATGCAACTTAATAAAAAAAATTATATGTGTGCAGTTCACACGAGGTGAAGTGAAACCTTTAGACAGAATGAGATGAAGAGTATCAGAAGTAGGATAATTGTAGGGTAGTAGTAATTAAAATATAAATAAAGAGCAATGGCAGAAAAATAGTTGACAAAAATTATCGCGTCTAGAAATAAGTTATATATAAAATGAGTTTTATTATTTTTCTATGATTTTTCAAATAAAAATGTATTTTAATTAAAGCCACAGAAAAAAACAAAAATTTTTGGGAATATCAAATGACTTAAATCATTTTTTTTGGAGTTTATGGCCTGGTATCTAGACCTTTAGGCCAAGTCTTAAGTATTTTTATTCGGTTTATTGTAATTTCCCCACTCCTTCGTAGTATACTGCTTCACAATATGTTGATGCGTCACATTGTGCAGTTCTTGGGAGATTTTGGCGGCAACTTGATCCAGCAGACAGCTGATAGTTGGCGATGGTATCTAAAGGTGCCTATGCAAACAAACAGCTTATCTTGAGAATCCATCACCATCAGAGCACTTGTTTCACTGTTTCCACTAATAGTTCACATGCGTAGACACTTAATACACAAAATCGCAACACTTTTACATATCAAAGTCCACTTCAAACCATTATTTAAACAATAATACAGGAGCAGCAAACCGCCGCCGGTCAATTTCCCCCCAAAACTCACTTAAATCATTTTACTCTGTTCAAGTGTTGCCATTTAGTATATTCATACTATTTTCGTATATACTTTGTAACACTACCAACACAACACACAAAATATGTTTATATTAAGTTATTATTAGTAATAACTGTACTATCAGTAATAATAAAAATAAAAGAGATATGGCTGAGAATAAGTCTCTTACAAAGAATTTCCTACAATAATACATTATCTCAATCACAGTACTATGTAACAATTCCATTTAATGTTATGCCAACACTAGCTAAAACATAATGTCACTGTTTTTTCTTACTGGCTTTACGACTCTGGGTTCTAGCCCTTCTGAGAATGTCACTATGATACAAAGGCCCTGGAGCCATGCCAGAAATATACATTTATAGTATAATAGAGATACAATAATCTAAAATCTCTCAATTATGTATTATTTATTAAGCTAACATCTAACAATCACAGGAAGCATGACTTTTTCCAAGTGACATAGGACATAACCTAAAAGGGTTCAAATGTAAATATCATTTTTTTGACGCCTTCTTAGGACAAAATTCTTTGACAGAGTTATTAAGGGGACTGACGCTTAACATTTTAAGATATTTTTGATATATAGACACTACCATTTCTTCTCAACTAATTTTATGTATGAAAGTCTGCCATTGCTCGTTGCAATAAACACTATACTACTGTATTCTGTCTCATTCCCTCGCAGGCTAAATCCTATAGGTGTATATGTTTCTCTCTTTTTAGTGTCGCTTTTTCGTCGTTTCATCGAGTTTCAAATCACAACTATTCTAAAGAAGTTTTCACTTCAAAAATAATAGTAATATCCTCAGATTATAGAAAAAAGGCAGATGAGCATACATGACAACCATGTGACAACACTAGAAAACCGTGGGTCTCAGTGTGTGTGTGAGATTTCTATGATTTCATATCAGTATGTTAATGGTCAGTGATATAAATAATCAGTAGCACAGAGTAAATAACAATACCATCTGTAGTGGGTACTGACCATGAACTCAAAAAGTCATGGGTTCAAATCTGCCATTTGAATAGTGTTACCACTCCTAATATAAACATTTTAAGTTAACCTGAAGTGGATAAAGGGAATATAAATAATGTCCGTAACATTACTGACACATACTTAGTCGGGTCATCAGTTCTGTCAAAACCATATTATTTAATGGCTCCAGTACACGTTGGCCGAGTGCACTTGGCGAGCGCGCTCGGCAGATTTTCGTGGTGCCGTTCACACGTTGGCGTGTTTCATTCTGCGTTGGTAGCTAGATGATGATGGACGTTAGGGCAATCGCGGCCGCTGTCATATACTTATACAGCGCTTCACTCTTCTCAGAGTGAACGAAAAAAAAAACTACACATACAACAATAATCCCAGTGTGTCCTTTTTAGGGTTCCGACCTCAAAAGGAAAAAAGAAACCTTTATAGGATTTACTAGCTACCCGTGCCGTGGGGTTTTTTTTTAAATAAAAGATAGCCCAAAAGAAGCCCCTAAGCTACATTATCCCTGAACAACATAAACGCAGAGATAATTATTTATAATAATATTTATCATTAGGTAGGTACTCTGAAATCGCAACTAAACATACATGTTTAGTTGCGATTTCAGAGTACCTACCTATTTAATGCAGTTAGACAAGTTACTCTGGTTTTATTTTTATGTTGCTCATGTTTGCTGTTCCATATAACTGATTCATTGTGAGGATCAATCAATGAACAATGAATCAATATTTACTCCATAATTATTAAATCGTAATGTGTTGGTATGCATATAAGTAACATTAAAAATATATTATATTGAATTATATATTTTTTCATAATATATGATATTTATTTATATAAATACATGCGTATATATATATATATGTGTGTGTGTATGTATATGTATATATTTGTATTGTATATGTATATTTATGTAAGTGCACACTTTGACTACCTCTAATTCCTTCAACTATTCTTCAATAGGCCTGCTGGAAGAAATTTCATCATGGAATAGGCAGTGCCTTTGTACATAATTATGTTTTTACCATTTTCCTATCGAATTATGTGTGTACATAAACTGTTAAATAAATATTCCCTCATTAGTCCATGTCGCCATGTTGAAACAATTTTATCAAGCCGACAGTCTACTCCGACGCGTAACTATGAACTGAACACTCGGCCAACGTGTGAACACTGTTTGCGGCTTGCGCCAAATTCCTTTGATTTGTGCACGGAAAACCGACACTATATGGCTCGTCGGCGAGCGTTGGCCGCAAACGCCAAATATATACAAAACGGCCCAGTACACGTTGGCCGAGTGCACTCGGCGAGCGCGCTCGGCCAACGTGTACTGGAGCCATAAAAAATTTGAATACTGGCTAGATGAACTTCATCAATTTTAAAAATATAACGTTTGCGCTTGCCAAAAATAAAAAATAAAAACATTAAGAGGCGTATTACAAAACAACGCGAAATTACTGCTTGAAATTGTATGTTTATCGTTTGTTGCTTGAAATAAAAATTACTTGGTAAAAATAATTCGTTTTCTCTTCTCAAATAAGCTCAAAGCGAATTTTAGATAACTTATTTATTTACTCAGTAATAATCATTCTCCCGATGCATGTTTAGGCAAAAACTCTCGAAGGCATGATTTGGGAGCTCTAATTTGAAGATTCCATTGAATATCGACCATCAAGAAAAATATTTTTATCTCCCAAATATCCTACACTTTAATAATTATAGAATACATTTTCGTTGAATGCTTTCACGCTAGGAAAAAAGAATCGACAAAATTCAAAAAACCACCGAAAAAGCTTCGAAACAAGCCTCAATATTTCTGAAGTTCTACATCATTTAGACGTAAAATTTATACCAAAATAATCATCAACATTTGCTTAAACTATAAGATACTATTATTTTTACTTTTTAAATCGTTACTATTATATTTTAATTAAATAAATAAAAGTACCGTATATTTCCCTGCGCCGGCCATCTGCGATAACTATCGCGCGAGCGCTTGTCGAGGTTGGACCTGCGTCTGTTTATTTCGCGCGCTGGGTCGTTTCGATACTATCATAGTGTGCGTCGATTGCCTGCGTGCTAGAGCATCGTCAACTATGACCGCAGTTTTTGATCGATCGGCTGAAAACTATTTTATATAGTTATAATTTAGATCGTCTCTCATCAAACATGGTAGGGACGTCTGTAGCATTGGCACAATTAAGCCAACAAGAAAATATTATTATAGAAAAATGTGGTCTATTCATTGACCTAGATCATTGTTATTTGAGGGCTTCACCTAATGGTTTATACAGTGACGGTCTTATTGAAGTTAAATGTCCTATTTCAGCTTTCGGAATAGATTTTGACACGGCCTTTCGACCAAAAAAAAAGTTAAAGGTGATAAATTCAATGATTCGAGTGTAACATTAAATCAAAATCATGACTGGTTTTACCAAATTCAAGAAATGCTTCATTTAGCAAATAAAATGTCTGAATACTTGCCATAATATGTACTGGCCCAGATTGTGCAGTGAAAGTACTAAACATTTACAAAGACGACCAATTTCAGATTTTCAATATGTTACCCAAGTTACAAGCTTTTTATGGAAAGTGTGTACTGCCTGAAATTATCGACTCGAGAAAAGTTCGGTCAATGTCGTCGCAGCAAATATTTTCCTAATAAAAAATATGGTAATTGACTGTATTTACCGATTAAAAAATATTAGTTACATTTGCTTGTTTTATTAAAACAGGTTGCAACCGTACTACTTATCTATATATACCACTATTCTACCGGTAAGTAGACATTATTAACATTCGATTACTGCGTAACAATTAAAACATTTATGGGTACTTATTTTGACACTAAATTTCAAAAATAATGAAAAATATATCAAAATAGTATATAATTAATAAGATAACATTAAAATGACACACCAAAAAATTTTTCCATCCACTGAACTCCATCCTAAGAAAACTTGTATTATGGAAGATCAAGATCGTTTAATCGCCATACTCACAGTATTATAGTGCGAGCGAGTGAATAGATATGAAAGAAAGTATCGGTCGCGTAGCTCGCCGCCCGCTCGGTGCGTAAAACTACCTAAATTTGAGAAACGCCGAAATGTAAGAGGGCTCTTAATTTTCATTCATTTTCAAATATGGAGTGGACAAAGAAAGAAGATAGAGTAGCGGTTATCGCGTGGCACCGCTGTGATTACGCGCCAAAAGAGATTTTCAATATTCTACAAAAATGTAAAATAACCCTAAGATTTGTTTATCGCTCTATCAAACGATTCACTGAAGTAATCGTAAGAGGATCGGCCGACCTTAGAGTAAGCCTAATACTTCTATGCGGCCGACCTCGTACAGTTAGGACACCCGCGGTCATCAAAGCAGTGAAGGCGCGAATCCAACGAAATCCAGTTCGTAAACAAAAAATCTTAGCTCCTCAGGTGGGCCTAAGCAGAACCACGGTCAAAAGAGTGATCAATGAAGACCTAGGACTACGAGCTTATCGTAAGAAGACCGGACATTTTTTGAACAAGCGTTTAAAAAAAATTAGGCTGGATAGATCCCGCGCTTTGTTACGGCGCTACGCGGGAAAAAAATACCGCGAAATGTTGTTTTCGGATGAAAAATTTTTTAACATCGAAGAAAGTTATCATATTATCTATCCTCGATTACGATATCGAACGACGACTCAAAATACATTTCTAACAGATCCTATGATTTAAGTAACTGCTATGGAGCTTTGCGTGTTTTTTCTTTAAATTACGCTTTACTGTTTTTAAACCGCTTTGTCAACACCGAATATCAATAATTTGTAGTTATCAATAGTTAGTGGCCTAGGTTTTTGAAGAGGTTCGAAAGTGGCTTGAAATGGTCGTGATAATATTAATATATAAGCACTACCGGTACGTCACCTCGTTCTTTTCCGAACTTTCCTGACACACCGTGTGTTTAGAACTGGACTTGGTTAACGTTTAGAAAAAGAAGTGATATTTAAGTGAATAGGGGATGAATGTACTGAAGTATCTTTTTACATCTCGTTCATTCATGTTGATGAAGGATACATAATGATCGTAGTAGCGGCAGGAATGAAAATTTTAGAACGAGAAAATGATGTGTGTATGAACTATGAATGTGAATTGCCATATCACGGAACATCATTAATTTCCATGCTGTGGTGCATCAAAACAGTTTTAGTTTACAAAACAGTTACCGTTTGTTAATTAATTCTAATATCACTACATTTGAAGTCGTATGACGACGCGATAAGGTGACAAGAAAAAATCTGTGTATGGCATTGGCAATGTAACTATATCAAAATTGCATTTGCAAAATTCTATCCTATGACTAGCTGGTAAATAGTTACAGCCAAACATCTCATATATGCTAAATTAACGTAAGTGAACGGCCAGTTTGATTCGAGCACCGCACCGACGCGACGAACCTTACCTACCAACGAAAAAAAAAATACAAAAAGAAATTTAGATACGTCGTGCATTAGACAAACTAGAATTGTCTGTTTAATTTGTTGTCTAATTACTTATGGATTTGTTTTTTTATAAAACTGGAGTGACAAACACACTTATAGTCCACCTGCAGGGCTAGCATGCGCAGGAGACAATTTTATCCCCTCGCATAGTTTTATCCACCCTTCGAGCATGGGCACACCGGTGGATATAATATCCACAGTAGATAAAAGACTTAGATAGATTTTTTGTAAGTATATAAACTTAAACCCATGTCCAATGAACTAGAATAAAATTGTCCCTCTCAAATGTCAAAAAAGTATTTTTTTTTTATCATTCATTCATTGGGCTCCATGCTACGGGCGGGGGATATATGTCTACTCGTTATGTCAAACGGGGATATACGTCTCCCCGTTGCCGTGCTTTGACATAGGGACAAAACAATTTTATCTCTTGTAAGTGGATATAATCAGGGGATAAATTTTTTTCCCTAGTCCATGCTAGCCGTGCTGATGGTGGTTATGCTTTGTCACCTCTGAAAACTAAGAAGGAATGCAACACAGCCTTAACTATATTGGCTCTCTATACTCTTCAGACTGGAACACAGCAGTGAATACACTCCTATTTGGTGGCAGAAATAATTAAAGTGTGGTTCTTACACAGACAGCTAATATTTTTAAATTACGCCATAACAAAAGCAAAATCGAATAAAGATTGTCGGTCTGTTTAGGGTTACGAGTTTTTTTACTTTATATAGGTCAGTACTCGAGTACAGTACCACCTTTTGTTAAGTGATGATATGGACCTCAGTGGTATATCACACTATCTTATGGTAATAAAACCATATTTAACATTGCATTACAAAAAAAAATGAAGCCAACCATTTAGATCGAATAAGTGGAAAGTCCCCAATAAAGGAGTAGAGATCTGACGAAATTGGGTTCATCAACGTCAAGGTCAATAGATCTTTTAGCACGCCTCTCCATTAAGTGCATAGCTACTAGGTGGCATTTTGCAGCACCATCTCATGTTTTAGCAGTATGCACGATCGGAATTGTGCTACAAGCTATTCCAGCATGGAGTACTACTGTAACTGTTTGTTTCTAATATATTTTATTTTGTTGGTTTTAGTAGGTGGAAGGTGTTGGATATGGGGAAGAAAGAACTGATTCACCATTAGTTTCCCAGCACATTGGGGCGTGGGCGTCGGGGGTGTGGCACGGGGCGTTGGGGTCCCCGTGCCGCCCCCCGGCGACCTACTCGCCACTATCTCCATGTTTGAACAACAGATCAAAGCTGAACCCATGAGGTAATTATTAATTTTTTTATTACTATTTGGAAGTCTATATTTAACAAATATTCATAAAAAGGTTGCTTAAAGCAGAAGTGCGGGGTTATATACCTAGGTTTAGCCGACTGCATCTAGATGCAGCCGTTTGCGGTTGGCTAAATTTAGATGTGCTGTTAATGTGACGTAATATTCAATATACCATGTATATAATATATGCATATACATATACAGTTACAGTCTATAGATATTCCACTCTTGAACACTAGTTTCAGTGCAATGAATTGTTGACAGACTTCACATGTCTGTGAAATATATTTTTTATTTCTCAGACATGCAGCTTTCCTCAAAATGTTTTCCTTTACTGCCGAGCATGTGGTATTAGTAGTTAAAATTGCATAGAAAATGTCCAATAAGTACTGCCAAGTACGGATAATATATGGTTTCTAAATGCAGGTCTTGTAATGGTAAAACGTTTTTGTAATGTAATGTATGTGTGGGTTGTAGTGGCAAAGAGTCGAATCAGGGTTCTTTCTTTGGGAGCTTTTCCGTCATTGTTCAAAGTTCTTCACAACAGATATTTACTGTTAATTAACAGGTTGTAGTGAATTATACTATGTAGTGAATAAACAAACAGTAACCATTACTTTTCTATGGGTGAGCTTTGCTTTATGGCCATATTCCGTTGTTTGACCTGGGTTCAGCCATTGCGCTTTATAGTTGCGAGTATCGTAGAAAATCCGCTTTTCATCACACGTCCCAATTTCAAAACCCCTTCATTACTGTATCTACACGTCAAGGCAAGCTTCAACGCATGGACGTAGGTTAATTCATCAATGACCCGTTTCTCGATTTTTTTTTACTGTGACAAATCAGTGAAAATGAGTCAATATTGTGGTCAAACTAACATCAAAGGATGATACTCGTAATTCCTTGGTTGTCACCAATGCTTTTAATTCATCGTTTTTTTTTATGAATGGTCTTCCTCAAAGAATGAACCAACATTCTTCACGTCAAAGTTGCCACTACGAAAGCGATTAAACAAAAGACAGAACGATATTGAAAGGTGTCTGGTGTTTTAAAAACTCGACGCCAATTGTATACGAATATTACTCTAGTTTAATTCAAAAACGAAATGTAAAAATACTTGAAAGTCAAACAATAGGGTTTCATATATTTTTGGAATTTAGAATGTTATAGGTTTTATGTAAATAAAGTTTCAATCACGAATTTTGCAGGTTTAATTTTAATTCAATGTGGCTAATATGTTAAAACCTCATAACTTTTTTCTGGGTGAACCGATTTCTGATTGTGGTCCCATATAAATTTGATCAAGGTCTGACCAATAGTTTTTGAGTTATTCTTAATAATTTATATTGAAGTCGGTTGTACAAAATTTTTAACTTTAAATTATTTAAATATCATATTTTTGATTTTTTTATTGTATTTTTATAAGTTTAAAAAATCCTCGTCTTGCAGCTTCTACACTTCCCACTCACATGTGCACTCTGGTCCTACAATAGTTCGTTCAGACACTAATCATGGCGTGCTAAATATGAATCAACACCAACATCACCAAGAAGACTCAAAAGATAGCCTCATAGTACAACAACAAGTACAACATCAACAAGAGCTGCTGGAACAGCATCAACAGCAACAGGATTTGCAACAAGATGATGAGGTAATTGCTTTTGTTGCATAATCTGACACTTAGAGTTTTTATTTGCTCTCTTTTTGATATATATGTATAGATCAGACAATATGCCTGATTACCTATTGGGCGCTTTTCCATTCGGCTGAACGACACCTGCACGGTGCCGCGGCTCCATTTTTCCACAGGGCTGGTGCCGATCCAGGATCGGTTTTTGGGCAGTACTAACACAGACTTCAGTTCTACAACACGTAAAAATGGTCTTGTCAAATCGTCGTATTTGTTTGTTATATCTCTTACATTTAAGACGAAACTATAACCAACTTTAAAAATAAGAAGGAACATATTATACCCTATTTTAAAGTTGAAAATGTACTCCATAAATATTTCAACTACTTTCGCATGAACGACGAGACATTTCATCATTTCACAAATCAATTTCGAGTCGCACTCTCAACGCGTCTCGTCTACCTCCCTATCGGCACACAAACACGCATACGGCTACAATACGTACACAAGATATATTATGCAGTTTTACCGGCCGGCACCGAGCAGGTATCTTGCTGTCCCGGCACCGATGGGAGTCATCGCCGTGCCGTGCCGGCGAATGGAAAAGCGCCCATTGTGGCAGGGGTTCCCAACTTTTTCAGTTCGCGGCACACTTACAGGGTTAGTATTGTCTCAGTGTCCTAGCTAGGCAAAAAGGTTACAATGATACTAGGTAGATAGACACAAAAATTTAGACATCTACAATATGACGCTGATAAAATGTTGCAAAGGGAATAATAATTCTTAGAGCTTTTGAACTTAAAGTTCAATATTCATTTTGGACCCGTTTCCGAGCGTAAGTACCTAACGACAAGTGAGTGACATATGCAGCACGCGTTATTTGTTTTGTTTATTTTGTATCCGCGAATACCTAAATTTAAGTTCCGCAGAATGGTAAACAGGGGCGCTTCACGGCGCACACACTTTGGGAACCCTCTGTATGGGCTCATGTCCAGCTGTGAACTGTTAGGAGGTTATAAGTTTGCGATGGATGCGTTGTTAGTTTCGAAACGATCGACTCCCGAATTCTTCGTAACCTATAATTGTATTGGCTCTATATTTCCTTCAAACCGAGAATACATCAGTTGTTTACTTTACTGATTAGCGGCCAAATCAGGTAAGAGGTTGGTACCTACATAGGCTAACTTCAGCGCTTTAAAGAAGCCAAGGGAAATTAAAAAAAAGACTAAGCATACAACTAGATGATTTACCGGTTAACCGCAGATTATAAAATTATTGTCAAGGAAAACTAACTAGTTTTACCGAAATTGGACTACGAAAAACTTGAGGACGCTTACTATCAAACTATCAAGCTATCTATCGCTTACTATCAAACTATTACTTACTAACAAGCTATCTTATCTTTACAACAGTGTAGGTTATATACTCAAAAGCTTTACAACGGCAAAACAATGTAAAAGTAGCTTCGAAAGATTTACTTAAAATTTTAAACAATCTATAGAGAATCTCACAATGCAACACCTTTCTTGTTAGTAACTGTTGGTATCGTTGAATTTGTGATACAATAGCGTTTTTTTTTTTATGATATTAAAGTGACAAATAAGCTAACGGCCCTCAGCAGCCCATTAACTATTGCAACCAACTTCACACAAAAGAAGGGCACAGATGCGTAAGTCACCTCAGAAGACTTCCATGAAATGCCTGAATCGCTTCTCATCTTGGACATATTTTCGTAATATATTTATGCTTCAGACATGCAGTTTCCTTACGATCCTGCACTGTCCAGCATGACCAGTATTTAAAATTGCAATTAACCATTTCTTTGGTACCGTCATGGATTGAACCAGGGTTATTCACGTAATGAGCTATTGTAACTCAGTTGTTGCAAGTTGGAGCTACTACTATTCTACCAATAAAGGAAAAATCTTTCATATTTGCTACACTTCATAGTGTCTCATAACTTGGTCAGATTTTTCGTTTTAAGCTTCATTAGATTTTTATTATTTAAATTTGAATACCTTTATTTAGTTACAAGAAACTGTGACTGCGTGTAAGCATCAACACTAAACGATATTATTTTTATAGTTGAGCTTCAAAGGGATGGATGATGAAGGAGTTGAAATGGACATGGATGGTCGACAGTGTTCTCAGGTAGGTAAATTACAATTAGTCAAAATTATTTTTTACTCAACTTTGAGCTGGTAAGAATAAGTGAATTACAAATATCATTGAAAAATTTTTGTATCCAGGGTATGGGAGTTGACTTGGATTCAGTCCAAACTAAAATGGAGGTGACCAATGGAGGCCAAGTAGTACCGAGATCAAAACCCCAAGCATGTAAGGTAAGCAATAAATGTGCTAAGTATATGCAATTTGAAATAAGAATACTCGAAAGCTGTCCAAACAATTCAATTTTATAAAACTATGATACTGGCTCACACACTTTGAGACACAGTCAAATCTAACCTCAATCTCTTTACATCATTCCTCATTCTGTGCACTCTTTCCTGCCTTTCACACATTCTTGTTAAAGCATTACCCATCACTCATTCACAGCCTTTCATGCACAAAGAGATAATATACATGATTCAAAATTCTTATATATTGTTTCAGGTTTGTGGTAAAGTGTTATCATCAGCATCGTCATATTACGTTCACATGAAGTTACACTCCGGAAATAAACCTTTTCAGTGTACGGTGAGTGGTCTAACTTGTTCAGAAATTAAGGAATTTTGTTCATATTTTCCATGATATTATAATCTGTACCGAATTTAAAGATGGAGTTTGTTTGAATCACAGAACTGCTATAACGAGAAAAATAAAGGATAATATATACAATTAAAAATAAGCTTCTTTTTCTTATAAAAAATAAGCCTACGAGTCAGGCACACACACACTCTGTGGACTATAGTAAAAAAATATTAATAAATATGAGATTAGAAAATCATGTTTGATTCTATATATTATTGTGATGTAGTGGCGGCTGGCGGCTGTCATAGTATATACATATAAACATATTGTACTAGTGCTAAACGCAAATGTGTTTGTGTTGAAATCATTACATGCAAAAAATAAATTTAAAAAATTATATTTATATTGTATATTGACTTTTTGATACTATTAGAAAATCTTTAACATTAAGGATGACGCAATCATACAGTAAATACTATGAATGCCTCGATACGCCTTTTTGCCGATACGATACCGATACCGTTGCTCATATAAAAATATCGGCGATTACGATACCGATACGCTTATTGAATTCAAAAATGTAGGTAAAATAAATGAAACACAAGTCAGGTTATTTTTTTTAAATTTCATTAATATAAAAGGAACAAATAACAGGACAATCTAAATAAAACCGTTTAAAACTATAGACAGGTTGAGATTAGTTAATAGTTTTAGTACTAAAAATTAACATTGATGAAATTTTTGTTTAAAAAACAATTAAGTATTCTTAAGTTTTGCGGAGAAAGGCGATTTTGCAAATCTGTTTGAATAAGACCTGCCATGGAAAATAGTCTCTCAGATGTGACAGTACTCATTTGGAAACTAAAGTATTTCTGCGCCATTTCTTTCAAGTTTGAGTATAAGACGTCATTGCACCAGAAAACGAACAGATCTGCGCCTCTCGATATATTAGACCTTAGGTATCTCTCGACTTCTTCTTTGAGAGAATTACAGCTCAAAGTGGACAGGGGCGCATCTTCCTCGGACTCTAATAATATTCTTACAAACGCTCCAAAGCCCGCCACTCGTAGGCATCTCAGAACTTACAGTTACAGTACTAGATGTAAGTGTGACCGTGTCTGAAATAGTTTCGGAATGCAGTGCTACATTAAGATCAAGTAACTGAACAAGACGCTTTTTGCCATAGTAATAGTAGACTGTGATTGAAACATTCGACAAAACACATGTGAGATCAAGCACTGTGGTTAAACTAGACATTGAATAAAGCGCGGGGTTTGCTCGAGCATAGTTAATTCGTGTCTCGTTTGCAACGGAATAGACGAGACAACACGCGCGTTTACATTACATTTTTAAAGCAAGAAATTTGAAAAGTATCTTTGAATCAGATATAATAATATCGCCGATGCCGATATACCGGCAAACTTAAGGTATCGCCGATATATCCGCATCGGTATCGGTATCGGATGCATCGCTAGTAAATACTAACAAAGTTCATCTGAAAACCAACAAAATGCTTTAATATTTTTATAAATAATATCTAAAATTAAACATCTTAGGCAAAATTTTATTTAGAAACATAATATTTAATTTTCAGGTTTGTGACGCGGCTTTTTGTCGTAAGCCATACTTAGAAGTGCATATGCGAACGCACACCGGCGAGAGACCGTTCCAATGCGACCTATGCCTGAAGAGGTTCACCCAGAAGTCCAGTCTTAATACGCACAAACGAGTCCACACTGGTGAGTGCATTTGCTTCCATAAAGAAGTTGGTTAGTTGTCATAGACTTCATTTATGTGTGTATGTGTTTATGAGACGTACAAAGAATAGAAGATTATACAACAAACATGTTTAATAATCACTTAATACATTAAAATCACAATTTATCATTTTAGTTTAACTACAATATCTATTGTTCAAATTTAGTCATAAACTTGAAAATTTTAGAGTTGCCATGTAGTAATTCAGACACTAGAATAAAAATTTTGTTTTCTCATAATAATATAAAATGTCTACTATTAATTGATAGTAATGCATACTATATAGGGTTATTTTTCATTAAGAGTGCCTATAAATAATTAGATACCGTTATTGCAATTTTTGAAAGTACGAGTAAATAAGGCTTCTACTTTTATTTGAAATTGCCCCAAATTGAATGTGATTTATGGGTAACAACTAGGCGTACGCGCGATCCTCTGAGTGCGATTCAATTCACGTTTTTGTCGACTGAGCTACTCTTAAGAATATTGTGTGCGTGCGTAGTAAAATAGTAGGCGTTAGATATTTATGAATGACAATCAGTTAAAATAATGGTAATCCATGCATTCTGTGTTTATAAGACAGAATGTTTGAGATTTTTTTAATTAATTTTTCTTCACCGTTCGCTTTTATTAATTATTCTGAACCGTCTCTTCAGATTTAGGCGTATGTTGAAAAATAACCATGTATAAAAGTTACCTGAGCAAATTATTATTTCATATCATTTGTAGCTCAATACTATACTTGGTAAATATAAAAGTAAAGCCGTAACAGCTCAGGAGCTTAGTGGTCGTCTTAAACACAATGTACGAAATACTCAAGTTTGAACACTGATAATAAAATTATAATTTCAATTTTGAGTGCACATTTGGGGAAACTTACTAACTTTGGGACTAAGAAATTAAAAATATTTTAAGGATGTGAGTAGGCTGATTTTTTTTTCATACATTGTAAATAATGTTTGAAACAAAATTTTATTTTGTTTGCCAATGAAATATTATAGCATATTTAACTTTAATATTAATGAGCTCAATTGAGTAAAGTGTAGTATTCCATTAAATTGAGCTTGTTTGTATATTATGCTGGCAACACTAAATTTAGTTAGTTGTTTGTGATTTCTGTTAATAAATAGTGTTATTCTGTCCTTTGTATGTCCCAAGTAGACATTAGGATGTAAGCTTAAAAAAGTTGCTCAAATTCCCCAACTCTCTTCAAAAATTCTGTACATCATGATGAAATCATAGAGATTTTTAAGTAAATATTCTGGTTCAATTTAAAATTTTAATTAGGTTAAACTTAAATATTCAACATAAATTGGTTTTTATGTAAATTTGATTGTAAAGATTATTAATGTCTAATTAAATGTAATTTCCATATAAACATGGTGTGGGATTATACTTATTCTTTAAAAGATAATGTATAAATATACTCTTTTGAAGGTATAATAAATAAAATTTATTTTCGCTATTTCTTACTTTATTTAAACCACATAGATATATAATATGGCTATAGTATAAGGCTTACAATACACCACGAACCAGTTGCATGGAGATTGCATTTTTATGTAAGACAAATATTAAATACTTGACTGATTTATGTATAATTGATAAGATATTAACCTGCATTAAAAATACTTCCATGTTCGTACCATGAGGGGATTAACCTGTATAAATCAGTTGATTTTTGTAATTTCAATAAAGTCAACCTCCTCCTGTTACCGCGATACAAATATATTACAGTTTTCTTTTTTGTTATCATTTTAATAATTTGCTTATATCTAAGTGCCCTGATACACAATATATTCTATGTAAAATATTTTTTTGTGTACAAACCTCAATATTTCATTTTTGTATTATTACATTTATTACTTTTACACAGTTTAAACTGTATGTCTCGAATAATTAATTTTTTTTAACATTGAGATAATTATCTTGATATTTATCTAAATGTTTGTATATATTTTGTACAGATAAAATATAATAGGTCTTCTTTTTAGTATATTATAGTGTGTACTATATTGTTATTAATGTACAAGACAGTATGCTTCCCCTTTTCCCTGTACAAGGCCTCTAGACTGAGCTTTATAAGTAGCAATAACATAGTATGTACTATGCAATATTATAATTATACTAGGCATAAAGTTGGAAAACAGCACAACATAATTATGATATTCATGATTAGCTCAATACATATGCTTAACGTAAAATTGTGAATAGTTTTTGAGTTGTGACACATAGAAGAAGTCGTAATCGCTAATATCAGGGCGTGAAGAAGGCTTTGTTGATGTGTGGTAAACAGGGGGAGGTGAGGAACTTACAGTGGACTCAATTGAAACGAAATCAATCCATTGCAAGTTCCATTTTGGCTTAGAAAGTATGAGAATAAAGAGGGTGTGTTTGGAATGTGGCCTGGCTTTTAGATGAGCACATGCGCGCGTTGATGGTGAAGGAGCGGCCCTACAAGTGCGAACTCTGTCAGATGCGCTTCACGCAGAGCTCCAGCCTCAACCGCCACAAGAAAATACACACGGGTGGGTTCCCCTTCCACACCGCCCTGTGGTCTATATTTAATGTTCGATTCTATATATAATGTTCACGGCCGATTTCTTTTCGGCTCTTTACTATCTTCACATAAGTAAGTCTTTATTTTGACATATGCGATGGTTTCGTTCAGAGGAACACAAACGCGCGCTGCTGGCTAAGGAACGCCCCTACCAGTGCGGCATCTGCTATGTGCGATTCACCCAGAAATCGAGTTTGGGCCGGCACGGAAAAATACATACCGGTGGGTCTATAACTATACGTACTGCCTACTTATGCGTGATAATGTTACGAGGCAGAACGGTACTCTTAACGTAGCCTACCTCCCCCTGTGTGTGCGAGTGAATGCGTAGAAAGTTATTAGGCGTTAATGAAATAATGTTTGAGAGAATGCTGAGACGCTATATCGAAAATCGTATACCTTATAGAGGAGCACAGACGAGCCCTGTTAGAGAAAGTGCGGCCGTACCAGTGCCACATCTGTTTTATCCGCTTCACTCAGAAGTCCAGCCTGGGCCGACATGGAAAAATACATACTGGTAGGCATCTTGCCCTAAAATCCTTAAGTAGACAATGAATTTATAACCATAGAGCTCACGATATTTTAGGCACTGATCGCTGGCAGTGACATCGTGTGGGATCGTTTTTGTAGCTATATTTTGTTGGTATTTCTAGAGGAGCACATCCAATCGCTGATCAACAAAGTGCGCCCCTATCAGTGCGACATCTGTGACAAGCGGTTCACGCAGAAGTCCAGCCTTGGCACTCATAAACGTATACACACCGGTGGGTCCCTTGATCATTTTCTTTATTCATTTGGGTTCCAAGTCACAATTCAAATGTTGTTTCATATCTTTTTTATTTTTACATTATTGCTGTTGTGGCTTTGACACCTTATTTGTGAATAGTTTTAAAGGGCTCCCGACTATCTCATTTTTCTTTTCTATGAGATTAGCGATTTGGAAGTGTTTTGAGTATTATTTTTTACAATTTTTAAGTGCAAAGTGGTTGTTGCTCCCATATAGGCTGTACGCGCTCAAAAACTATTCACAAACATAAAAAAGTAAAGCATGTGTACGTTGTGAGAATTTTTGTTTAAATTAAAGTAGGCGAGTATTATTTTGATGGACAAATAACATTGTCGAAATTCCCTCATGGTAGCTGGTAGCTAAGAATCGCTCGGCGTTGGTGCGAGCTATACGTGAAAGAATTATTTGTCCATCGTGGTTTTTGTTTTGTTTCTCTGTCCCCCCGTGTGTTGGCGGCGCAGGCGAGCGGCCGTTCCAGTGCACCGTCTGCCTCAAGTCCTTCACGCAGAAGTGCGCGCTCAATTTGCACGAAAAAATACATACGGGTTAGTAGCCCACATATATTTAAATATATACAGCAACTCCTTCCGGTACGGTAGCGACTACTTACGCGTCGTCACACCAGTTATACATTTTCATTTAGCGTCATGCTTCTTTTCTATTTTTCAGTTGCCCGCCTAACCCGTTGTTTTACGTTCCCTATTTTCGATCGCTTACCATCTCGTTGCTTCCGACTAACATCTCGACCATTCCGTAACTCATTAGATTGCGCGCTTTAACGTACTTCTGCATTCATCCATAACCCTTCTATCATTTTCAGTCTGCAATCACATTTCATGTTTTATGTAGCTAATTAATTCAGTGGTTTTAGTGCACCATTTTTTGTATTCATCATTTTCTTCATGAATATTAATTCTTTCACAAAAGCGGTAATGCAATCGCTGCGATGACGCAATAATTGGCGCCACGGTAACGGTTTATTCGGTGGTTTCTCAAAATTGGGGTTACGTTATTTTTGGGGGATTGGCTGTGGGCGGGCGTGGTTTTGTGCGTCGGCGACGTGCGTTACTCGCTTTTGTGTGTGCACCGGGCGCAGTGCAAGGGCGTCCTTACACGTGCGGGCACTGCCCGGCGGCCTTCGCACGCCGCCCCTACCTGGACTCTCACATGCGCACGCACACAGGCGAGCGGCCCTATCAGTGCGACGCCTGTCTCAAGTGCTTCACGCAGAAGTCCAGCCTCAATATACATAAACGGACGCACACAGGTGGGTCACAGCCGGCCGGACTGGCGCCCCGCCCGCCCCCAACCACTCCGCTCATTATTCGCTCACTTTATCTCTTCTCTCCTCCAAATCTCTCCCTTCGGCACCGTTTTACCTCCACTTAAATAGAATCAAACTGTCGCGAAAGCCGATGCGAAGATTTGGAGCGGAGTTAGCGGCGAGCGGCGACCAGTCCGCGCCGCGATCTCCGTAGTGCGAGGACGTCTAGCGTCCTTGCGGGCTCGCTGCTGCTATAATATATGTATTGGGCACCAGTCCAGGGCAGACCGTTCCAGTGCCTGTCGTGCCCCGCCGCCTTCACCTGCAAGCAATACCTGGAGATACACACGCGCACGCACACCGGCGAGCGGCCGTATCAGTGCGACATCTGCCTGAAGCGCTTCACGCAGAAGTCCAGTCTCAACATCCACAAACGGACGCACTCAGGTACGTCGCCGCTCGACGCTAGGGACGTATGAACGATATGTGGGCTACTAGGTCGCGGGGAGGTCGGCTCCCCGCTATACATATTAACCGCTCGCTCCTCCACAGTGCAGGGCCGGCCCTTCCAGTGCCTGCAGTGCCCGGCCGCCTTCACCTGCAAGCAATACCTGGAGATACACAACCGCACGCACACAGGCGAGCGGCCCTACCAGTGCGACGTATGCCTCAAGAGATTCGCTCAAAAGTCTACACTTAATATACACAAACGAACGCACACAGGTCAGTTCATTTACTTACACCGATCGTTCCACATTTATTTACGGTTTAATTTCAATTTCTATATAAAAAAGTTGTCGGTGCCACATGTCAGGTTTTGTCGCAAGCTCGTGAGTGAGCGGACATACTTGTTTGCTTATTATGTGTAACGGAGTACTAACGTGCACTGATGGTTAGTGCAAGGGCGGCCGTATCAGTGCATGGAGTGCCCGGCGGCGTTCACTTGCAAGCCGTACCTGGAGATACACATGCGCACGCACACCGGCGAGCGGCCCTTCGAGTGCGATGTCTGTTACAAACGCTTCACGCAGAAATCGACACTCAACATTCACAGGCGAATTCACACCGGTATGGCGAAAGGGGCACGGTTTAAATACTCTACGACTTGGGTCTATTTGGAGTTTTGCATCAAATGTGGCTCATGTCGAACGAACTGTACACATGTTCACGTATTTTAATTTATATTGCGTAATAATATGCACATTCAATAATTGCTCAAACACATTATTTTAATATAATAGTAACGAACATATGAGCAGTTTGTTTATTTGTTACCATGACGACGAGCATTTCATTGGCTTGCATAGAACTATCTATCATGATATATAAAAAGAAATTTTGACTGCCTCCTCCTTTACACCGTAATTATTGTTAATTTTTCCGCTTTCAATAACATTATAAATGATTGATTTGACAGCCAATATATCTCCCTATCTGTCTCTATATTAATTAGAGATCGTTCTTTAATCACGTGAGGTTCGAACAGGGGGTGAGGGAGGGGATCAGAAAAAATTACTATTAATCAGTGCCAATCACGTGTATTTTTCGTGCGACGAAGAAAATTGTGTGATATGTAAAATATTTTACCATTACCAATTAAATTCTCCATTTCATTAATATTTATGGTTTTTCAGTCTAATTTTATCATTTTTTTTTATTAAAGCACATTCTAAAAATATCTGATCTTTTCAATAATGAAAAATACACTTGATGCTGGGAAGTGGTAGGAGGGGTAGTCTAAAACCTCACAATGTATTATAATACGGGTAAAAAGTGGTATAAAACTTCACGTCATTAAAGGATGGCCCCCTTGTTTACATGCGCTAATTTTGTTAATTTTATAGAAATGAATGAAATGATATAATATGCTATTAGCATATAATATGTAAAAAAGGAAAATAAATAATATATATTTATTAGTCCTTTTCTACACACAGATGTCGAAATGCTCATCGTATGTAATTTTTTTTTTATACTGCGGCAATTTATTCACACAATGTTTTGCTTTAACAATTATTTCTCTGAATATATTGACCGCAGCTAAAATTTTTTGCGCAGAAGACGGCAAATTGCGATAATATTATGTACGTCATCTTAGAACTCATGATGTGGCACCGACAACTGTATGATTCATCATTTTTATCATCCGCTACATCATCTCGGTTTTAGTATCATTTATTTATTATAATTTCTTGGCTTAAATTCATTAATTTCAGACTCCATCATATTGTCTAATTGCATCTTGCCGTCTTTTATCATAATTAGCTTTCATTATGCTTTTTTGTCACCTCTATTTTTTTTTTAAGTAAACAATCTCATCATTTTGGTCACAAGCATTTTGCTGCAATTTAATTATGAGGTTTGGCAGTCTTGTTCTGCTCTTTCCAGTATGTTGTGCGATTAATTTTACTCCAAATAAATTTTATATTTATACTATCAATGTGAAAAAACTTTTATAGTGTAAATTTAAAATGTATCAATAACTCATGTACAGCGCTGCTTATCGGGTCGGTATTCTGTGATTTTTTATGGCACTATCAACATATTCTACGAATATGAGTCATTTTGATATTTATAATAGAGAATTTGTTAATAACTTGACTATAGCACCACCTATTAGATCTTAACATAGCTAAGATCCATCGTCTTGACAAAATAAATACCTATATCATGTTCATATGACTTGAAAGAGTGAAGTTCAGAAGTTAAACAGGATCACTAACAGATGTACCATTATAATACACTATTATGTAATATAATAAAATTCAAATAAAACTTTAGATATAGGTTCTCATTTTAGATACATAATGATGATAAATATTTTCAGGTGAACGTCCATATGCATGTGATATTTGTCAGAAACGGTTTGCAGTGAAAAGTTATGTAACAGCTCATAGGTAAGTTTTTTAGTTATTTTTTATCTTTACCCATGATATTGAAAAACTACCCTACTCAACTATTCTTGATGTCAAATATTAGTGCTTGCATTGAGGTTCCAGTCGGAAGGGGTATAGAGAGCCAGTACGATTACAGGCTGTGAGGCATTCGGTTCTATCGTAGTCATCAAGGGTGACAATGCGTCAGTCTTCTTTGTATAAAGGTTGCAGGTGTCCATGAACTGCACTAGTCATTTACCATCACATGAATTTGTAAGTTCGTTTGTCAATTCAGTTTAAAATAATTTAAAATTAAAAATTTTGTACAGCCAACTTCAATGTAAGTTATTAAGAATAACTCAAAAACTATGGGTCTGACCTTGATCAAATTTATATGGGACCACACGAGAAGTATCAGCTTTCAAACAAAAAAAAAAAAGAATCATCGAAATCGGTTCACCCAGTAAAAAGGTATGAGGTAACACACAGAAAAAAAAAACAAAAAAATACAGTCGAATTGAGTCCCAAAAAAAGAATCGTTTATTTTACCAATTTCCCGCAAATGATCCATTTTTTTTTATATTAACATCAAAAACCGACGATAGCTCAGACGTAGTTTGAAACGGATCCACTTTTACTATCGCTGTCATTATCTATCTTCTCCGGACGAGGTATGTTTGCGAGTTCAAAATGTCATGAATGTAAGCAGTTGAACCAATAATGTACCATTTGTTTGTTAGTAATGCTTGGTCCGTATGTCTATGATATTGCATGCCATTTGGGACACATTGTTTCCACGTTGGAATACATTTAGCAATAACATGAATTTTCATAGAGTATAGCAGTATTGCAGAAAATAACAAAATAATAAGAAATAAATAAATAACAGATTTTGAAAAAGCATGTTTCAGTTATTTAAATAGCAATGTCTTATGGGATTTTGCTATGGGAAAATGCGGCCGATTTAGAAACTATTTTGGTTTTGCAGAAGAGCTATTTACTATCTAAAACCGAGTCTCTTAGAGAAAAAATTAAAGAAATAAAAATATTAAATTTGACCTCAGTATATTTACGAAAATTTAAAGTATGTTCATAAAAACAAAGGTAGTTTTAGTGAAACAAAAGTGATATACACACTGTAAACACTAGGAACAAACACAAGCTAGTGATACCAGTTTCTCGACTCCACAGTCAGTAATTCATTCTTGGGTAAATGTATACGATATTACAACAAAATCCCAGAAAATGTACAACGTCTCTATTACCAAATTTAATATTTTATTAAACAGTAACTGTATAAAAAAGGTTTTTTCATATAAATGAATACATGGTTGATATTAACACCTGGGAATGAGCCGGTCGCTTCCAAGCTGTTTCTAAAATAAATTTTGTAAATAGTTTGTACAACCTATTATATTGTAAAATTTACTTGAAAAAAAAGTCCCGCTGGATTTCTTGCTGGTTCTTCCTAGGACAGAGGTATTTTTCCAAACCAGTGGTAAAGTAAAAAGTGACTCAATAAGAATTACTTTTTATATTTGTGGCATGAATAAAACATAATTCATGCCACAAATATGCAAAAAATAATTAAATTAAGAATTTCAAGTCAAACCATAGCTTTTACAAGTAAAATACAATGACATTTATTTACGTTCTATAAAAATCTATAAAAATTTACAATTTCCTTTTTGTGGAGTGTTGTCAACCTGTACACTGACATTACGGCACGTATTTTATTTCCGTACTTATGATTATATGAGCAATATGAAGTTACAGCCTATATACGTCCCACTGCTGCGCACAGGCCTCCTCTCATTTGTGAGAGGGATTTAGGGCAACAAAATGTTCGCTGCGCTACTCCAATGCGTGTAGGCTAACTTTACACAAATATTTCTTGTTGCTTATTTCTCAGACATGCAGGTTTCTCTACGTTATTTTCCTTCACCGCTGAACACGTGGTAAATGAGCATTTAAAATTGCAATTAACAATTTCATTGATGCCGGCGGGAATCGAAGCCGGGTTGCTCGTGTACTGTGAAATTTACAGCTAGGGCTAAACATCTGAGCTACCACGGCTCTATTAGCAATATATTATTATAATAATAATATAATAATAATATTCCACAACTATCACACAACGCCATCTAGTCCCAAGCTAAGCAGAGCTTGTGTTATGGGTACTAGACAACTGATAAACATACTTATATATTTCTAAATACATAAATATTATAGATAAATTACACCCAGACACAGAACAAATGATCGTGCTCATCACACAAACATTTGTCCTGGGTGGGAATCGAACCCACGACCTCCGGCGTAGCAGTCAGGATCACTAACCACTAGACCAACAGGCCTGTCAATTATTAAAATAAAATTAATGAATCATTATATCATCAAAAATATTTTAATTTTATCTTACATTTGATGTCTACGTGATGGTAAGTGGATACTGCCTTTAGATACCTGCAAGTTTTCAAATGAAGAAATCTATTAGTGTTTTTGGATTCCTCAGAATTAAGATAAAATGCCTCATTATACTTGCTCTTTTACTTTTAAACTGGAACACAATGTAGCAGCGGACAGACTGTTGCTTATACGAAGAAATAGAAAAAAGATTTACTACCTTCGCAAAATGAAAAGTATATGGTGAGTACGTTCGCAGATGGTCGCACGTGGCCGACAAGCCGCTGAACTGCGAGCGGTGCTCGATGACGTTCACGTCCAAGTCGCAGTTCGCGCTGCACATCCGCACGCACTCCGCCTCCTCCTGCTACGAGTGCAGCGTCTGCGGACGCACCTTCGTGCGCGACAGCTATCTCATACGGTAAACGATAATGCCACTTATTGTCTACATATTAGGGTCGCGTTTTCTTTTTTATTATTTATTTTATTAAACTACCATATTCTCATTGGCCCATAATAAGCCCATTTCTGGACGATGGCCTCTCCTACACTAAGAAACGTATCGTCTCATCTAGTTCTTATTTGTGCATATCAATGTAACTTTTTTTTTTTACTTTTCTTAAATGCAATCAAGAATTTATCAATAGAAAATGATCAATAAAAAAGAAGATTTAGATCTTGATGGGTTCTAATTAAATCGTTTATAACGGAGATGTTATAAATAGTTTCATATAAACCTTACATATAAAAAATTAAAGTGAGTCCCTATGTCCCTGAAATACTGTTTCTTGAAGACTTATTTAATTTGTTTCATAGACACCACAATCGTGTACATCGAGAGAACCATAGCAACATGTCAGCAAACAGCATTGGCACAATCAACAGCGTCGCCACCAATACCAATAACTCCAACAACAGTAATTTTGACTCGCCAGGTGTTTGTGACTTAAGGTAAGTTAATATTTATTAAAAAAAAATTATATACATACATGATTTCCATGCAAAGTATGGAAGGGTTATTTTTTTATTCTATTATATTATTTTATTATTATTTTGCCTGATGCATCTAGTAAATCTCTTTTTATATACTATAGAAAAATTGCATTAACCAATTTATACACCATTAAAAACTTCATTACAGCTTTGTGCCGATGGTAAATCGCTACATGACCTCACAGGGTACACAAGTGTCAATGCAAGACTCGCAGAGCAAAATGTCCGCCATGTCACCCCAGTCCATCGCCTCAATTTGTAAGTTTATTCTATAACAAGTGCCATTGGCTCTTAGACTTATTTCTAAGTTTTTTTTAATGACATTAAGCATACAGTTGCATGACATTAAGTGTACATACCAGCTTGTGACTTCTGCAGCCCATGGGTATCTTAAATGAACTTAAAATTAAGACAATTTTTACATACGGCTTCTAACAAAAATATTTCAACATTCATAGCAACGTCTGAATATTACCATAAGATATCAACTGCACAGGAATAATATAAACCCGCAATTATATATAAAGGCACCTACTGTGGTAGTGGTGGTGTAAGAGAATCCATTACCCCATATCAGAAACAGCATCTTACTCATATTAGAAGATACTCAAAATAATAAAAAAACTGCAGTTGTCAGCCTGCCCGCCATGCGTGGCAACTATAGCACGGATCCTTTTATGAGGCAATCTATGGGCAAGACATATGTTCCATTACACCTTATAAAAGTTGTTAAAAAGCTTATAAATTGCATCATAACGGGATTTTGCCATAGTTGCCGTTAGTTGTAGTAGCTGTTATCAAAAAGATGCTTCCCACTCAACTGTTACATTTTCCATTTATTAGAACCTTCTCCTTTTTAAGTCGGTTAAAAAAATTAAAATCCAGACGATGACTCACGTAGCTCAACTAAAAAATTTAAATGGCGTTTTAAAAATAAATTCTAAAAAGGAGTCAAAATCTCTACGACAGTGGAGTTGAGTGCTTCGCACATCCCTTTCCTCATCATAATATGGCTATTTACAAGCAAGAAATGAAATTAATTTGGCTATTTAATACTGAAATTATATGCTTCGACTGCTCGTCAATATACATTAAACTATAGCGTTCCGGGTTACGGGTCCGATTTTTCCCTACGGAACAAGTATTCTAAAATAATTCTTGAATGTTTGCAGAAGCATCTCCAGTCTGTGAATCTTTGAGAGCGAGATGTATATGATATATTACGCAAATATGAATTTTAGTAAATCAATAACATATAATTTTTCTTTTATTGCATTGTTAAACTGAATCTGACGGTGTCTCTCGGTTCTCAGTTGTCGTTACTCTGCATATTATGCAAAATTACTTCTTTAAAAAAAACAAAACATATACATAATTTTTATTCAATTATATACTATTTATGTCAAAACACTCTAAATACCCTAGGTATATATTATACATAATATATTATGTATGTTCTAGCATCACCTCCTCCTCCACACACGCCGACACCGCAGCCGCAGATGTCTGGCCAGATGCGTCTCACCGACTGATCGTCGTAATAGGTGAGATAATAGTACAAACCTGTACGTAAAATGAACCAGCGGTCGTTATATTTCACAAAATACCCACAGCCAGCTTGAAACAAAAAAATTCAACAAAAGTAAAAAAATTGAAGATATTGTCAATGCAATTGTATTCTTTATATCAAAAGAATATACATGCTGTGGTCCTGTATAAATTTCAACTAGAATTGATAAAAAAAATTAGCTCTTATCTTTTTATATTTACGTTTTGGTCATTACACACTAATTTATATTTTCAGCTCTTGGTTGACGAGCAAGCAGCCAGAGTGCAATATTAAAAAATTGGCAGCCATCAACAAGAGCAGCTATTATTAAATCAACAAATCAAAGTGGAGCGACAGATATCTCTATATATTCGTCAGCGTGGACTTTACACAGTTTGAAATGAAATTTTATTTTTAAATCAGTTATTTATTTACCCATTGTTGAGTTGGTCGGGAAAAAGAAGCAAGGAAGGATGCCGCGTGGAATGTTCTAGGCGTTAACGCTTGTGGGATCCCTCGAGTTGAATACCAGGTGGACATCACATAAAGTCGAGGACTTCAGTCACGTAGCGGTACCGCCTATGATATGCATTGTGATTTATATCCACAGCTGTGATTTATCTCTACCATCACATAATTATATTAATTTTCGTGGTGGCATTCATAAATCGATACTTAAAAGTCTCATCGTTGTAGATTTTAGGCCTAAATTTTTGATCTCATATTCTAATTTGCTTAGTGATAAAAACTTTTTGGAAATCCTGAATGGATAATCTCCAGCTTCGAAATTCTAAATTTTTGATGTTCGTCATGCGCTTGTCATCCACATCTCCATTAGATGTAGTGAAGTTAACTATGTCTTATTGCGACGCTTTAACTTAGTATGTCAGTATAAATGAAGTTCAGTAATTTTATAGAACTGTTACCTTTTGAACATTAAAAATGTGAAAAGGGGCTCTTAGGTTATTGAACCCCTGACATTAATCAGTAAGAATGCTTTAAAATTAATCAGATTTACATATGAAGGAATAATAATAAAATACAAGTACAAAATGAATCCATTATCGTGCAGTCTCAGAGGCAATAATGAAAGCTTCACAAAATTGATAACTTTAATATTATGATGTTTATTGGAGTAATCCAGAGAAGTGCCTGTTACAACATAAAATTGGCAATATTTTTTAATCGTATTATGTTCATAGTGAAATTATGTTCAATGTTCATGTGTGATCTTCACCACTTGTGGACTTGTGAAGCAATAAATGAGAGATCTGTGACAATTTTAATATCACATAGGGTTTGTATACACGGAGAGTATAATTTGTGAAGCTTCTTACTAAACTTTGTGTGCCTTCTAGCAAATAGCGATATAAGGCAGTGTGCAGCCAGAACACTATACAAAACTTTCATTTATTAATTTCGTCATATTTCATTCTCCTACACAGCATGCTAAATGGTTTATATTACCTTGTCATTGTATTTTTTTTTCAGCCAAAAAATTTGTTGTTTCCGTCACTGATGTTTCGAATAATAGGAATAATGTATAGTGTATAGCGCAGTAGTCTTCCAGTATCTCGAGACAAAGTACTTTTGCACGGTGGAGTGCAAGTAGCGTGTCCGCCGCGGGGGTTCCTTATGGTTTGCCATTATTGATATCAAAGATAGATTGGTGCCATTTCTATGTAAATGATGTGGTAGTGTAAGTTAAGTTAAGTTTGCAGGTCAGGGTAGAATTGGAAATAAAATATTGTAGAGAACTCAGTCTCAAAGTGTTATGTAACCGCTTCTAAAAATCACTGTTTTCGTATACTCTTTATTATATTGTTTTGTTTCCGTTTAAGTTGTTGTTTTCTATGACATTATTTTATATTTCCATGATGTTGTGTGTGTGTCCATTAGCTGAGGGTGGGATATTATTGTAAATATTGGTAGGGTTTATTTATTCGAATGAAGTGAAGAAAGGAAACAATTCGAAATGTTTGGGACTTGTGATTTGTTGGGGTGTCTCTGCAATGGTGAAATGAATATCGAACTGATAAAAGCATTATTGGAATTAATCATAGAATATTTAGTGCAGAAGTATACTTTGGGTAATGAAATCAAAATTTTCTTGTAGATATACATGATAATGATAATAATAATATATACATATGAATGTTGTTTGATAGTCCTCAATATTTTTTTATATTTTGATAGTTCTGTATTTTGAAACACGAGAAAATAGGCCAATATCTCATTTATCATTTTAATAAAAGAATTATGTATGTACACGATACTTTTAAGATAAAATAACATGACGGATGCATTTAGTTGCCCAGGAAATAAAAAGTTGTAGAATAGCGTTAAATATTTTCAGTGTTTTTCAAATTAATGTCATTTTATTAAGTTTTCTACCAAGCCATTGAGAACAGTATTATTTAGACAAACTAGAACTTTGGTTTAATGAGTAGTATAAATATTGCAAACTACCATTTTATGATCACCACTGAAGAAAATAAAACCATGTTTTATCAATAGATGTAGCAACAATGTCGAGCACCTTGTCTACGGTGCTTCTCATTGTTGACATACAATTATATTATCCATAGATATTATAAATGGAAAATAGAAACACCAACATAGCTGACTAGTTGCAAATAAAATATATAGATGTATAGCGTATCTTTACTTTCTCTTTATGACTCGCCTAAGGTGAGATATTTTCCATATAAAGTCTAGAATTATTAATATATTTTGTTGTTATATGTTCGCTGTCTTTATAATTGTTTATCTTTAATTATTATTTTATCGATTTATTGTATCAATCCCTCAACCGTATGGTGTCAAAAGAGAAAGCGAAGAACACTTGGTCCTTATTAATTACGAGATAAAACCCACATCATGTAACGTGGATTAGTGATAGAAGTATATTTTGTAAAAGATTAGGACCCTTAATAAAGCAGCGAGGAGTTATAAATTGCTATCGGTCCCTTCACAAATTTTTAACCATATGGACATATCGGCAATTTATTTGTCTTTGCTGTAAAACTATTTTACATACCGATGTTAGTTACTATACTTAGGGAGTAATAACTGTAAACTATTTGAATTTACGTAATCGTAAAAGCGGTATAAGTTTATATTTTCACTTTCTCTACTTATTTTGTCAACGGTAGAAAAAGACTGAAGTATTAAGAGAATCCACAATGTCAATAAAAATATAAGAATACTCACCAAAAATAAAAACTGGCTAAATTTTTACATTACAATTGTTGAATTTTCGTTTGTTTTTAACATCAGATCGGTTGTGGTGACGGACCAACCCAATTTTATGTATTTGTAACTCACATTTGAAAATTCGTTTAAAGAAATCGTACATATCCTTCCGTGAGCATGATGTAATATTATGTATAGTTTTGTTGTCGAGGCAAAGGTACTAGTCTTGAAGGCCGCAATCACGTGCCGCCGACCAGTTTATTTGATTGTGGTAGTTATACGAAGCAAATAACAGTGAGCCTTGTGTAATCATTATGTCTAAGACACATAAATATTTAGTTGTATTGTATCGTTAGATTTATGCGAACTTCAGCTTTGCCAACATATTGCGTTGCTTACATCATAATCATACCAGAGTACAGCCTAAGGATTTTAACTTTTTTTATATACTGAGAGCTATTCCTAAGTCACTGTTTTTTTTTACAATTTGTAGTTATACATAATCAAAATATTATATTAAATGGCTATGAGCCATATCAAATTTTGGAGTATTTTACATATTACATTTAATTCAAATTTTATTAAAATCCAATGAACAAACATCATGGCATGGTAAAGTTGATACGGTCATTTAGTTATAGCTCTACAGAGTTTTGATGACCAATATTTTTAATTGCATCTGTTTTAATTTTTATTGTTAAAATTTTTAGGCTAGTTTTATATTTTTAAATAAGTTAGATTTGTTAACTGTGGTGTATTACATTGCACGTGAATATGTCTCCTTTACAGCCTCCTTTATGACATACTTGTTTTAGTCGAAAGATGTGATAAATTATTATTAGATTTAGGGAGCCTAGAACACCTTAGTTCTATTTAAAATATTATATTGGGAGGATAGTTATTTTACCTACAAATGTATTGCATTTTATCATAGTATTAACTGTGCTAAAATTAAGACTTCCCGCAGTTATTGTTATTATAGCAATAACAGCTATTGTCAAAGATACTTACGCATCCAAATTAATAATGAAACAGAAACTTATAGTTTTAATTTTTATCGACTCTGTTAATGTGAACATTAACCGGTTCAGTGCGGGTGACACGCCAGGAGTGCCATCGATTACTTTTGTGTGTGGCGTATGACACGCGAGTCGTGTCTTTTAAAAAAATATTTTGAACAAATTTGAAATTTTTAGGGGTTGACAACCTTTTTTTAACGTGTACATGGTACTATTTTTATTTTGTGGGTTTTAAATCATGTTATGGAAAAATTGTCTAATAAGTAACAAATAATAGCACTCATTGCGATCGCTCACAAACTCAAGTTGTAAATAGATTTCTGGAAAACAAGTCTCCTGTTAAAAAAACAATGCGTTTGTCTTATTCTTTAATTTTGCTTAAAATGGTTGAACTGCCGTCTTATTACTATGATATGGCCGAATAGACCTATGAAGTACCATGTGCTCTTGTGATATGGTATAAGGTTTATTTTTGCTTGAAATAGTTAGAAACCGTTCATGCATAAAAAAAGTTCGCTAATAAATAGTCTTTTGTCAATGCGCCGCCGTATAGCGCCGGCGTTTTTTTCCTTTTGCTTTGCTACACTTGTCTTGCTATTCTTTCTAATTAGACGTTTTCAGATCGACTTTACGTTTACATTTGTATAACATTAAATAATATTTAACATTTGTAAATATCAATGAATGATATACCTTATTTTTTTTTCAAATTAATGTTCTTCATTGTTTGATATTTACAAATATTATTAGGTGAAAATTTAATTTAATAAAAACCAAGGTTTCCAGGGTGATTTAGCTGTACCTACTTATATAAATGATTTTTTTTTATAACAAATAAACTTAATTAGGTCTAAACAAGTGAAAAAAGCATAAAAGAGAACATTACTTTTACACATGGCGGATAGCACAATAGGCGTGTCTGTGGCGATTGACACGCCCGGCGTGTCATGAAATATTTGTTGTTAAAAAGTTGTCAAAAATTGGTGCCGCAACGAATCGGTTAAGCAAAAAAATGGTTCGGGTGTAAAATCTAATCACTTAAAAAAAAGTATCGTTATTTAATGACAATATACAACTTTATCACGCGTAAGTAAAGAGGCTGTAAGGGTTTTTATGTAGTCAGCATTATGTATATGCTTTAATGTGATTTTTTAAATGTACTCTTTATTATATTAGTATCATCAATGAATATAATTAGCGAACTAACAAAGTGTTTCTAACTTTTTTTTTTTCAATTCATAGTGATTTATATTGAGATCAAAATAAATACAGAGTTTATTTAATTTTATGGAAAATATACATTGTAAAATTATTCATTACTGCTCTTTTGTAGAGCTTTAAAAAAGAAACTATATAAAATGCAAAATAACAAGTCACGATTCTTTTAGAAGTCGCCATGTAGTGGAGAAAAATAAACGTGCCATGATATTTGTGGCTAATTATTTTTTCTTATTTCAATAGCCTTATATTCCCATACCCTGTTTAAAACAATGACATCGACATGATTATTTTAGTAAGGTCTGCTGCACAACCTGCAAAAACTAATGCGTTTTAAAATACAAAAATATTATTTTAAACGTAGTGTCAAGGAGGATCGCAGTCCACCTGATAATAAAGGCCCTGTAAGCTGCAAGTGTACGTTGCCCGTAACTACTACAGCTTTTACGAGGGCTGCACTAAAAGTATCGGGAATAGAATATTTCCACTGTTCCTGTCATATTAAAATCTTTTTAATTGAAAACTCCTTGGTTTTAAAAATCGCATACCATTTATTTATTTAAAAAAAGATTCTGTCTTGCCACAAGATTTTATCAAACTTGTTTAGTCGTTGAGAAAATGGAATTGACTCGAGAAAATTCAAGAGCGATGATTTATTATGACTTTCGAAGTGGTTTAACACAAAAACAGTGTGTTGACCGGATGATTTCTGCATTTGGTGATGAAGCCCCATCCAAAACCACAATTTATCGCTGGTTTGCTGAATTTCAACGTGGACGTGTCAAGCTCAGTGATGATCCCAGTCAAGGTCGTCCAAAAACTGCAGTCACCCAAGAAAACGTTGATGCTGTGCGTAAGCTGATTGAGGACGATCGACATGTGATATACCGCGAAATTCAGGCAACTTTAGACATTGGCATGAGTCAAATACAAATAATCTTGCATGAACAATTAGGTGTAAAAAAGTTGTTTTCCCGATGGATACCGCATTCGCTCTGTGAAGAGCAAAAAGCGGCTCGCGTTACTTGGTGCGTCAGAACTCTCGAAAGATTCCACCCAGGATCCTCAAATGCTGTATACAACATCGTATCAGGTGACGAATCCTGGATATACGCGTACGAACCCGAAACAAAAAACCAGTCACGAGTTTGGGTGTTCGAAAATGAGTTAAAGCCAACAAAAATTGTTCGTTCACGGAGTGTTGCAAAAAAACTTGGTGGCCATGTTTGTCTCCAAAACCGGCCATGTTACGACTATTCCTCTTGAGGGACAAAGAAAGGTTAATGTAGAATGGTATGCTAGCATTTGTTTGCCACAGGTCGTTTCTGAACTCCGTAAAGAGAACTGCAACCGCCGCATCATCCTCCATCACGACAATGCGAGTTCTCACACCGCACACAGAACAAAAGAGTTTTTAGAGCAAGAAAACATAGAATTATTAGACCATCCGCCGTGCAGCCCCGACCTAAGCCTTAATGATTTCTATACTTTCCCTAAAATAAAGAATAAATTGCGTGGACAGAGATTTTCATCACCTGAAGAAGCTGTGGACGCCTACAAAACGGCCATTTTGGAGACCCCAACTTCCGAATGGAATGGTTGCTTCAATGATTGGTTCCATCGTATGGCAAAATGTGTCAAATTTCGCGGAGAATACTTCGAAAAGCAATAAATACATTTTTAAATAGTAATGTTGTGTCACTTCCTTGATTCTGAAAATTTTCAGTGCCGCCCTCGTAGAGCCTTTAAGATAAGTGACTACCGTCTGCAATATTCTATGGTCCGTTAAGATACTGAATAAAAATATGTGATTCGAGGAACTCTCATGTGATCATATTTCTTTATTTAGATTCTAGATCATAGTTTTGTAATCCATATTATAAGCTCTAATTCGTCCGTAATAGACGCTATGTTAAACTCAGGGCCGGTCAACTTCCTAATAGCAGATTGGCACCGGGAGATGACCTTGGGGGGCTTTAAAGAAGCGAGATGGAATAATATCTATCTCCCTCGCACGTTATGTTATATTGCCATGAAAGAAATATTATTTTAAATGACACATCATTTTAATCATTTTTTTATTTAATAATTATAATACTTTATTATATAATATATTTCGTTAAACATATATTTATTACGTCTTTATTGAAGTAACAAAATGTATAAATATGAAACTGAATACTATAATAAAAAGGCAAGTTATGGCAACAGCAAATAAACAAAATTACAAATGGCAGATCCTTTGCGCTTGCTGTTGCGTTCTTGTTTATTTGTGTTGCAAATTAAGTTTATATTTCGATATAAACTTATTTCTTACGTTAGTAATAACGTTGAGTTGAACATCCCGTTCCTCCGTTTTAGTGTTTACAGTGAGAAAGAGACTCAAAAACAAGTGCTGTGCATTGTGCTAAAGAGACAGAGACTCAATTTTATCTTTCATCATGAAAGAAAACGAAAGGAAATGTTACAAGTGTGGATGTTCTCCTGCTCATGATCGTAACATCACCTTGCATCGTTTTCCTAAGCCTGGGAGAACAAATAGCGTACGGTACGTATGCTAAATAGCTTTTTGATTACTGATTAAAACAGTTTTAAAATGTTTAAATTTGAACCACTGAATTAATAAAGTAGCAGAAATAAAAATTATTATGGGCCGCATCGGCTAATAAAACCTAAGATACATATTAAGCGATTTAAAAACGTGTGCAAATAAATCTGAAAATTAGAGAAATTATGCAGAACAGCATGAGGTTTATCACATAGAAATCATAATATAATAAAAAGTTCTAGATGTATTGGTACACATAGAAATAACTTGTGGAATAATATTTATATATGTATACAATACAATCACATTGTTTGAAAGGAACAATCTTCTTGTATTGCACTCTTCTTCCAAGCACGTTTTTAGCACCTCAGTAGTATATTACTATCTAATTGTATTTTTTCAGATGTGAATTATGGGCGAAGTACTGTTTTCCTCATGAATCTTGGTGGTCACCAGAATTTCAAAACAATCTTCATTCTAGGCATTTAATGTTGTGCACTAAACATTTTAAGAAATCATCATTCATTGATAATTTTGGAAAGAGGCTAGTCAAATCTGCAGTACCTGATGAGGAATGTGATAAGGTTAGTTAATCTTTCTTTTGTTACTATCTACATTTTTTACTTTTGTGTGGCTTTTCTCATACTACAGTGAAAATATTATCTAGTTAACAAACGGTGGTAGCAGATTGAGTGGTGATTTATAAGGGTATGCGACGTAACCTACCATTACTTCTCAACCATAAAAAAACAAAAGATATAAACTTTTAAAAAAAGTTATCTTTTATTTAAAAAAAAAAAACCTTATCCATACTAGGATTTTCTCCTCTTTGTGGAGGCAGTTTACAAACATAAATTGGATGAGGACAAACAACCCCCGGCACAATTATTTATAGGCCTTGGGTCAATTTAAAATCGGTGGCAGAAAATGTGACTGTAAATTTCGAAAACAAAAGAAAATAAAATTCTGTTTAACTTAGTTGTATAGGTATTTATGCTATGTAGATATCATTGTTAAATGCAATATCCTGGTTGGGTGCGATGTCTTGCCACTATTTTTAGATTTTCAAGGAATTTACTAGTGCAGGGTAAAAAAAAATTACAACTCTGTTACCATCATATAATATTCATATTTAAACAACAAACAATTATTTTTAGAAACATTCTTTGTTATGAACATTAATTAAGTCTTTACTGTCATGTTCAACATGCAAAATTACACAATAGTTCTTCTTAAGTAGGAACAGTAATGGAAGTTAAATATACTCTGTTACTTCCTTTGTTTTAATGATCAAATTTTCACTATAAACTATGTAAATTGAATTAAATTATTAAAATATAATGATGATGTTGTGTATAAATGAGAATATTAAATAATTAATAAACAATGCATAGAGTCAGGTGTCAGCTTTTCATAAAATTCGAGACATTACTCTTATATATTTAGGGACACAAAAGTAACAAAGTTGTAGGAACAATAACATAGTTGTACTATTCGCAACAAATTTATGAACTACTATCACAAAATACAATATTTTTGGCTATGAATTGTTTTAAGAACTTTAGAAACTTAATTAGATTATAAAACTTAAGGGTAAAAAGCTAAAAAATCTTATTGAGATCAAATTAAACCTAAGCTGATAACTTATTTTTCAAATATCTCTAGTGGAGTATGGAACTGGTAATATACCCTTTTGCCTTTATTTACTTTTTAGGTACTGAAACAACTCTTATGAAACTCTCATATTGTTCATATGATATATCATTTTAAACTAATTTGTATGTTTTTCTAGTATCGTCAACAGAATTTAAAAAGACAATTTTTACTTCACCATCATCGTCTACTTCGCTTAATGCTTTGCCTAGATAAACACTTACTTTCAGAATTGTAAACTTTAACTAAGACCTAGACTCCTTCTTTGATTTTACTTGGATGAATATTTTCTTTATGAATCAAGTGATTCTCATCATTTTTTTCTTTAGACAAGCAGGGTTGATCTGATGCCTTATCTTTTAATCGTAGCAAAGGATTATCACCATCTGATTCCGAACTCGAACTGTAAATTACATTGCAATAAGATTTCCTTTTCTGTTCAATCAAATTACTTATATCCGCTAGATTAGTAGAATTACTCCTTTGATTCTTCGACTGTATCCTTTAGTGGACAATAGTTTTTTGGATTCATTCATGAGGAGAAACCAAGCTAGCAGAAACAGCTCAACTCTCGATATTTCAGCGCTCCCACTTCTTCTGTAATACACTAGTAGTACACTTGATGTACTTTCATTATACCATAGAAAGGAACAATTTCTGCTGGAATTTCATTCGCGTATCTTTCAATATCATAATCAGTTCAAGATTGACCTTAACTCTACTACTATCTTTCAGAGACTGATAGAACGAAGACGCTATCAGAATGTCTTTCCCAACAGCAACAAGCTGGTCAGCAGTCCGTTTTAGAAAGCCACCAACACCAACAGCTGCTCCTTTGCCGTGTCCCGACTCGAAAAAATTCCATGTAGGCTTGGTGAGGTTGTACTTTGAGAAATGTTTTGTCCATATTAAGCAGAAGTTTTGATTCTGGCGGTACTGAGTAGCGGGTCATCTGAAAATATGTGTATCACTTTTATCTTAGGGGATTGGTCTTGAATTGAGGAAAGTATAGGATGAAGGTGACTCCAGTTTACCGAAGGGCCGTGAGAGAGGTTACCTGATACTGTACAAAAAGACTTCACCTCTATGTTTCGATTTTCCAAGCTTCGCTTATACAATACGCCAGTATGTAAGGATACCTGGTTACGAGTATCACGAAAGTGGTGTGATTGTATCACTTCATGGAACTTGCAATTGTAATTTTCGCTGAAATCTACTTGTAGCGCTATTTTTTCTTCTGTCAATCCATCTATACAAGATCTGTAGTTTCTATACTGAGTTGAGTCATGTCTTTTATTAAGCGTTTCTTTTTATGATATCTCTCTAAATCCTTCTTCTTAGTTTCCGCTACCTCTTCAGGGTTTTATTTGCACTTTTCTTTATAGCGCCGCTGCTTTTCAGCAGCGGTGAGAGCCATAGCGAAGTACTATGTATTATCTAGAACAAATTATGTAATTTATTAGATAGCTATTATATAATATTGATTCCTACTAACATAGAAGCAGAGATACGGATATACAGACGCCAACGATGGCTTGTAACAGCTTAGTAATAACAACTCTGTTACCTCTCTACAACTCTGTTACCAGTAGCTAGTAACATAGTTGTGCAGTAACAGAATGGTAAATTTAACTTTAGTGACATTTTTTTTAGAAATGAAATATTATTATGTACAAAGAAAAGCACATTCGATATATCTTACACTAGAGCTACTTCAATAATATAAAACTATACGCAAATATCTGAATACTTACGCGAAAACACCGGTAACAGAGTACATACAGAATAAAACCACGAGCCTCACACCGCAGCCATCGGATAAATGAATCGTGTACCCGCGCCTCAACCGCCGCAAACCGTACGGATAGAACAGTAGATATTTATGATGAAACAATTGCCAAAGAATGGATAGCGCCATCTCTTAGTATTTATCCGGTTTACTATAGTAACAGAATGTAGCTCTAATATTTTGAAGACCTTGGGACAAAATTTAAAATAATCGTACAAGCTTCAATTAATTTATTTAATATGGATGAAGTATGTTTTTAAATGTGTTATGATTGCTTTATTACACTAGCTTTCAAACATAACAATTACATTGAATTGATAAAAAGATATTATGATTTTCGCATGATGCACTGCATATGGGACAGAATTTTTTTGTATGGAAAACAACTATGTTACCAAGAATGACCACTCTGTTACTTGATAAAAGTGGTGATAAATCAATAATAAAATTCATTTTTCTTGAGAATAAGCTTAGTAATTCGCCCCATATTTGACAAATTCAATAACATTATAACAATTTAATTAATATCACCGAGAAGAAAATATTTATGCTCAGGGACGACTTTATCTGCAACCAATTTTAAATTGACCCCCTTACAAATACTTATTCTGTGTAGCATTCGAACCTGTGACCTTTAGTGCCGCAACTCAATGCTAGCCACTGCTCCGCGAGCTGTCAATGTTGTTTAAATGACATGATTATAATTTAGTTACTTACAGAATATATTTACAAATAAAAGAAATTGTTAAAATAGTGTCTTAAAAATAGGATGGTGGTGGTAATGGTGTTAAAGCAACATTCATTAAAAAAAACAAGTTGTATTTAATGTTTATAAATTTATAAGCCTGTTTGAAATTTAGAGATTGGTTGACCAATGCAGGGATACATGATATAAATAATGATTTGATAATATCTAATTTTCAGATCACATTAGCTGACCTTAATTTGGAACAAAGGAATGTCATTCAACATATTGCAGGTCCATCAACTAATAAACAACCACTGTCTGAAAATATTCAGAAGACTATAACTGTTTCAAATGTATTTGAGCCTGTTGCAGGTCCCTCAAAATTTATACAACCCTTGTGTGAGAATGTAAATTATAAAACCATTCCTGACATAACTAATGATATTCCTCAAGTAACTGAGAATATCAACCCTGTTGCTGCTGCAAATCCATCCACGAAAAACAAAAAGGATAAAGATATGTTGATAAAAATGAAATATCATCTGAGAAAAATTAACAGGCTTCAAAAAACTGTAAAGCATCTAAAGAATGAAGCATTTCTCAAAGTATTGAGCAAAAATGATTCCGTAAATAAAATATTAAAATGTAAAATATCCCCCTCTTTTGCATTATTTTTGCAAGAAGAATGGCAAAACTATAAAAAAAAATCATAAGGTCGAAGATGGAACATGGACTCCAAAATAATAGCACTAAGACTGTATAAAAGGTCACCTAGGTGTTACAAATTATTAAGAAGGATGATTTGCCTGCCAACACCTAGTTCATTAAAAGCGTTATTAAGCAAGTTTCACATGAAAGTTGGTATTAATGACCAAATTTTTAATGTTTTGAAAAAAACAATAAAGCAACAGACTCCCTCAGACAATGAGTATATCCTTATGTTTGATGAGATGTCAATAAAAAAGTATTTGTTTAACAGTGGTAGAGCCACGCGCAGCTTTCGCTGTCGCACGGATGGGCCGGCTCGATCCGGGGTGGTACCACGACCTCACAGAATACCAGCGTGAAGTAGAGGTTTACCTCTGCGTTTCGCTTGGTGAGTGCAGGTGGCCGGAGGCCCTTTTTACTGGAAATGAGGCATTCCATCTTAGTCCTCACGGGTGACAACGCATCTGCATTTTGATTCGCAAGCGAGGATAGATGTAGATGTCTATGGGCCGCAGCAACCACTTACCATCAGGTGGACTGTGTGCTCGTTTGTCACCCTTATCTTATAAAAAAAAAACAACAAAAAGGAGGACATAATTGAGGGTTATCAAGACCATGCACTGCAGGGCAGGTCACCACAAATGGCAACACATGCTCTCGTGTTCATGATTGGCGGAATCCGTAAAAAGCTGAAACAACCAATTGCTTATTATTATTCTAAGGAGGTGAGCATTATGGTCTTTTATTTGTTCAAGACTTGTTTAAGACTATAACTTTTACTTGTTTAAGACTATAACTGTTTCAAATGTATTTGAGCCTGTTGCAGGTCCCTCAAAATTTATACAACCCTTGTGTGAGAATGTAAATTATAAAACCATTCCTGACATAACTAGTGATATTCCTCAAGTAACTGAGAATATCAACCCTGTTGCTGCTGCAAATCCATCCACGAAAAACAAAAAGGATAAAGATATGTTGATAAAAATGAAATATCATCTGAGAAAAATTAACAGGCTTCAAAAAACTGTAAAGCATCTAAAGAATGAAGCATTTCTCAAAGTATTGAGCAAAAATGATTCCGTAAATAAAATATTAAAATGTAAAATATCCCCCTCTTTTGCATTATTTTTGCAAGAAGAATGGCAAAACTATAAAAAAAAATCATAAGGTCGAAGATGGAACATGGACTCCAAAATAATAGCACTAAGACTGTATAAAAGGTCACCTAGGTGTTACAAATTATTAAGAAGGATGATTTGCCTGCCAACACCTAGTTCATTAAAAGCGTTATTAAGCAAGTTTCACATGAAAGTTGGTATTAATGACCAAATTTTTAATGTTTTGAAAAAAACAATAAAGCAACAGACTCCCTCAGACAATGAGTATATCCTTATGTTTGATGAGATGTCAATAAAAAAGTATTTGTTTAACAGTGGTAGAGCCACGCGCAGCTTTCGCTGTCGCACGGATGGGCCGGCTCGATCCGGGGTGGTACCACGACCTCACAGAATACCAGCGTGAAGTAGAGGTTTACCTCTGCGTTTCGCTTGGTGAGTGCAGGTGGCCGGAGGCCCTTTTTACTGGAAATGAGGCATTCCATCTTAGTCCTCACGGGTGACAACGCATCTGCATTTTGATTCGCAAGCGAGGATAGATGTAGATGTCTATGGGCCGCAGCAACCACTTACCATCAGGTGGACTGTGTGCTCGTTTGTCACCCTTATCTTATAAAAAAAAAACAACAAAAAGGAGGACATAATTGAGGGTTATCAAGACCATGCACTGCAGGGCAGGTCACCACAAATGGCAACACATGCTCTCGTGTTCATGATTGGCGGAATCCGTAAAAAGCTGAAACAACCAATTGCTTATTATTATTCTAAGGAGGTGAGCATTATGGTCTTTTATTTGTTATTATGTCAATATATGTAGTAGTACTTTTTTACCATATTAATTTACCCTTTTATCATTCTAGGTCCTGCAACATTGTTTTGATGCTGGAATTAATATTTCAGCTACAGTGTGTGATATGGATGGTGTGAATAAGAGACCTATAAGTATCTTGGGAGCATCTGTAGAACAGCCATATATTCTGCTAAATAATCGAGAAGTGGTTACCATTTTTGATACTCTGCATTTGCTCAAATGCTTTAGAAATATGTTTTTAAAATATGACATTAAATATCCAATAAATATAACATCAAATGATCAAATTGGATTTGGTAAGATATTTTGTTTTATTATAATCATAATATTATACATATTTCCAATTTACTGGATATTTACACAAATTTTTTTTACAGGTGTTGCTAAATGGAGCCATATAAAGGAGTTTTATGAAACAGTTAACACCAATCCCAATTTTGTGTTTGCACCTTGCTTAAAACAAGAACATTTAAATCCAAATACGAAGCAGAAGATGAAGGTGAAGCTAGCTGCACAAGTGTTAAGCCACTCAGTTGCTGCAGGAATGTATGCTAAAATTTCACAAGGTAAATTAAATTTATAATTTAAAGTATAATATTTAAACATATGTCCACCCATTAAAATAATTATTAACTTAAAAAGGAACTAGGCTCTCCCAAGTACAAATTATTGTTTATTGTGTGATACTGATATGTGATATTATTTTTGAGTTGTCTTGTAACATACTTTAAATCATGTTTCTTTAATCCTAATAGTAAGATCTTAAATTATGTGTTGTTTACAGGGGAACTCTCTTCAGAGGCTGTCACTACAGCTAATGTTATTGCAAATATGGACAAGCTGTTTGATTGTGTCAACGCATGCTCACCAGACCTAAGAAGGGGGAGACCATATTCGACAAACATGACAAATAATACACCACATCTCACACATTTCACTTTAATGAAGAATTTTTTTAAAGAAATGACGTTTTTGGGATGCAAACGAGCTCCTCCATCCCAAGAAGGTTGGATATGGTCCATCAATGGAATAGAACGAATTTGGAGAAATCTCAGTTCTAAACATAAATCAATAAAAAGTTTGGAAACAAGAAGGCTCCAGCAGGACCCGTTAGAAAATCTTTTTGGATGCATTCGGGTCAATTGCGGCTGCAATTCAAATCCCACTGCTGGGCAGTTTGTTGCGGGTCTTAAAACGGCTGTCCTTAGCAACTTATCTTTTATTGGGACAGGAAATTGTGAAGAAGACCAAAATCAAGTTATATTGACAAATTTTAAATCTTTATTGTCTCCACCCACAGACACACACACTGCTTATGCCACAATTTTAACCGATGAGTTAGAAGAAAGTGTAAATTCTACATTTGAATGTAGCTTGGAAGAAAGCAGTGGCGAAATACAAGCATGTGCCTATGTCTGTGGGTTTATAGTAAAAAATAATCTCAACAAATGTGAAATTTGTAAAAAAATTTTTGTATCTGAGACACAAGAGAGATCACATACTTTTATTGACTTTAAAGAATATAGTGATCTAAAAAAGTCCCTTAAATACGCCTCTAAAAACCTCATTAACTGTATTGAAAGTAGTGCTACGATGATTTATGATTTTTTAGAGGCAGAAGCATATAAAAAAAATTAAAAGGGACAATTAAAGTTTTGTTCAAAAACTCAATAAATTGGGAGTTTCTCGATGAATGTCCAGAACATAAAGATATGAATATAGATTACTTATTTAATAGCGTATTTCACATTTGTATGAAGAGATTTTGTATTTTGAAAAATCGGCAATTTGCAGAAGAGTACTCTGCATACATGATATCCTGCAGAATAAATAAGATATTACATGGAACTACTTTTTCTATATGTACAGTCATAATCACTTCAGTGGTGACATTATATAAAGAGATAAAAGTAGAGGGAGGATTTGTCCTCTCTCGAGAGAGGCTGCCAAGGAGTGACTAGCGCTGATGAGGCTATGGATGTGTGTAAAAGTGTACCCGTAGTCCTGCCGATAAGTGGTGAAGATGAAACATCTGAGTTTTAGTCGGAGTGGGTCAGATATTCCTTGCTTCCGCGAGGCAGGTAGGATTTAAATTTAAGTTTTTTTTAAAAATATTTGCCATATAGAGCCACTTTTGGATTTCGAATATAGTATTTTCGAAACTATCACTTTACTGGTGCGAATCATACCTTACAGTCTTTTTATCGTTTAATGTCGGATAGTTTATTAGTCACCCTACAAACAATCGTATTGCTATGCAACTAACTTTTAAGTTTACTGTGGGATATGGATAACACATACATTTGTATTTTTTATAGAATTTAGCAAGTAAATGCTGTGACACTTAGACATCTACCTGTATTATCGAAAAATAATAATAACTACTTAACTATTAAATCGATATTTAGTTAAGAGCTGTTCAGAACTGTTTACATGCATAAAGTTAAAAATTAGTTAATTACGTATATATCCATGTAACATCTTATTTATTCTGCAGGATATCAGTTTTTCTTTGAAGAGCAGTTTGCAAAAGAGGGGGATATTTTACATTTTAATATTTCATTTACGGAGTTATTTTTGCTCAATACTTTGAGAAATTCTTCATTCTTTAGATGCTTTACAGTTTTTTGAAGCCTGTTAATTTTTCTCAGATGATATTTCATTTTTATCAACATATCTTTATCCTTTTTGTTTTTCGTGGATGGATTTGCAGCAGGTAGTGCTGATTAATGACATGAAAATGTTGACTTATTAGTTTTTAATGCAGTCAATAACAATAACATAACGAAAATAATTTCTACAAATGTAATATTATTGGTGGCATCTATAATATAATCAGGTTATTGGAGTTTAGACATAATATTGCAAAGCTATTGCCTTGTTTGTAGAATGTGAAGGTAAATAATGTTTTCTTGTTAGAAAAAAGTGTTTATATTAGATTGTCTAATCTTTTTTATATAAAACCAATGTACCTTTACTTTCCATTTTGCTTAAATGTCATGTTACATATGCCATGTTAAAAATTAGTTAATTACTCCGTCACTTACGTCCATCAATGTACCAACGGTTTTTCTATGTACCAATGTAGACAAGTATGTAATGTAAATAAAAATTATGTATTTCAAAAACCACTTTTATTTGAAAAATAGTTCCTTTTTTATATTAAAATGATTGCTAATCGTTTCAAAAGTGGTTTATGAATGTAAAGTACCATAATTTACAAATAACTTTGTGCTTTTGTTTTCGTTTTAATTTAGCAATATATATCATTGAAACGAAAAACTACAAGCTATATCTATCTATATGGTATTTTACATTCTTAAGCCATTTTTGAAACGAAACAACCAAGACAACTAAAAAAAATCACGTGTCAAAATTCCCGCGCAAAAAGTTTTAGGGGGCACGACAGAGATGGCGTGCATTATGGGTGCCATTTTCTTTGTTTGAAGTTGACATTCTTCCCGCCTAAGGGTATTAGTGTTCTGTGGTTAAACTCATTTAATGCGGCGACATCAGTTACGAAGAATAGCCAGGTGCGGCAGCCGCCGACCGGCGTCAACCGCACCCCGTCGACAAATCAAGACGCCCATTGACGTTTTCAGCACCATATTCTCTAAATTCATAAAAACACAGTTTATACCGATCGGATATATGTAGGTAGTAGTATTTTATTTCCTATTGCTATCATATGCAGTGATATAAATCCACAGCTTAACCTTTTGACCGCCAAAGTCGTCTATACTTGACCAGCACCTGCGGGCCCTGAGCGCCAACGATGGCCAACGACGTCTATAGTTGACAAAAAACCCGGCCCATAAAAGAAATATAGATATTGGAAAATTATTACTGGTATTTTAATTCCACAATCTTCGAAAAAGAATAACCCAGCAACATGTGAGTACAAAAAACAAGTCTTCTAGAGCCACAAGTACTAAGAAACATTGAACTACATAAAGAAAATGGATTTTTATCTAAGCAAATACTATGTCCAACACGCCAAAGTCTATAGTTTACCGCTAGTGCCGTGCGCGGGAGGCATAGATTTCTTGAAAACTAGCCAAAATTCAGCTCAAATGTGTTATTTTTTTTTTTCTATTATTATTGATATTTGAATAAAACAAAAGTTAGAAACATAAAACTATAATTAGCTACATGAATAAAAAATATTATCAAATCATCTTCGCATAATAAATCTAATATCGCAACTCTGGCGCATCCTTAGCGCGTCATCGAAAATCTGTTCACTCAGTTCCACAGAGTACTCTTTACCATAAGGGCACACGGGGCCCGTGCCCAGGGCCCCCACGTCACCGGGGCCCCCGAAAGGCCGATATGTTCGCTTTCAATATACAATCTTTCTATTTTAGGAAAATATAACCCAACACAAAAAGTTATAGAGTAAATTAGGACGTTGTTAGTGACTTTATGGAAACCCTGAGCAATGCCAAGCCATACATTGCCGAGTTTGACAGAGCAAGTGGCATTGACAGATTTCTTAGGTAGAAAATATGTACTTCCACGTTTCGCCGCCATCTAAACGTTTTTTTTCGAGCTGCACAATCGCCTTACTCGCGTCGATTTTTTTGAAGTTTTCGGCAATCTGTGTATTTATATAATTACAGCTAATTAAATGTTGTTGGTAAATTGATGAATGGTGAGTCTTTAGAAAGAAAATGGCTCCTTTATTCACCGTCGAAGAAATCTAATGCTACTACTGGTACTGGGCATAATTTGAGTTCTCCGTATGAATATAAAGATTAGATTATTTAAGAAAGGAAGCATATAAGTAACTTATTAATTGAACATGACAACAGTTTACAGCACAGGCAATTAATGATGAATTATGTCGCAAGAATCAAAAATACTGGAGGAGTTGATAATTAATTATTGTCTCAATATAATACAGAAGTCAATTATTGGAAGAATGTACTTAGAAAAATTGTTGCAGCAGAGTGAAATTTTTAGCTTCTAGAGATTTAGCTTTTCGTGGTGATAATGAGATATTGGGGTTTCAAAATAACGGGATTATTTAGAATGCCTAGAATTGATTAGTGAATTTGACCCTTTTCTTGCTGATCATATACGAAACTGCGGAAATCGAGGAAAAGGAAGAACCTACATCATATTTGTCTGCAAATATTTGCTATGAGTTTATTAATTTAATGGGACAGGGAGTTTTAAAAACAATTGTCAACTAACTTTTATCGTTAGATACGTAAAAGACGGAGAGCCTATTGAGAGGTTTTTGCAGTTTTTGCCTATGGATAAAAATTGTTCAGAATGTATAGCAGATATCATTTTAAACTTTTTTGAAAGCCATGATATTTTTTTCTGAAGCTTTGTTCTCAATTGCAAGTGACATCAATCAAACCAAGAGAAACAAGAAACGAAGTCGAAAGCCGAGCAAAAAAGAATATGGAGAAATTGAATACTGTACTTTTAACGGAGATATGGAATGATTTTTGCGAATTATGAACAAAACCAGCATAAGTTTACAGAATAGCACTATGCCCATGGACGTTGCAACAAAACTTTACGCATCTCTGATCGATTATGTCAATAACACACGCTATAATGTCAATCAGTACGAATCGATCGAAGAAAAAATCCAAATACTGACTATAAAGATAAGTCTGATAGAAAAAGAATTCGCTACACACGCGTTACTTTTCTGAAGGATTGTCTGAGACTGTACAGTTAAATGGCAAAGAAAAATTTCGTGTGGATACGTTTATTCCTTGTAATTGATACATTAAATTTACAATCGTTTTAGTTTTCTTTATAAATTAATAATAATCGATTCTGATGAGTTGACAAAAAATGCACTGAATTTGAAGAATTCTATCATGAACACATTAATGCATATGAGCTCAAATCAGAATGTTCTTATTTAGGGCAGTATTTAAAGAACATAGCAAAGGACTCTGTCGATTGAATATGTAAGTTTGAGTTACATAAACTAATAAAGGCTGATAAATTAGAAGAAACTGTTCCTTTGCTTAATGGTTACCAATTGTAGTGGAGAGCGTGCATATTCACACCTAAAGAGAATAAAAAATGGATTACGAAGAACTACGTTACAAGAACGACTAACAAATTAGTCAATAATTATGTGTATATAAAGTGATATCCTTCAAAAATAGACATTGAAGATGTAATAGAAGATTATGCACAACAGAAATCCCGAAAGAAACCACTGTCGTAATGGTAACCAATTCAAAACACCAACATACTTAAGTAATTAATACCAATTAGTTATAATAAATATAAGAAATGTTTTTGTCATTCCCTTTTTTTAATTTCCAACAGGGCCCCCAATTCTTGCGTGCCCCGGTATGGCCTAAGACGGCGTTGTTAGAACAATTAAAAAAGCCGATGCTTCTTTTTCACAACGATAAAATAACGTTTAATATGCTTTAATGGCGTAAATTGGTAAAAAGACAGAATTTTGCATATCAACTTAACTAAAAAATCACTTTTTTGTCTCAAAATCTAGCCACAAAAACTTAACTTTTTATTAAATTTTAACGGACCTGTCCTCACACATTTTTAAAAGGGCCGTTATAGGAAGATAGTTGAGGGTTCTAATAGAAATTATATACCCCCACAAAATCGGTGTTGCTATGATATAGAAAAAAGAAAACATTCTTAATATTCTGATTAAAATAGCAAAGTGCCAATCATTGAAGGAGTGCCAACATTAGTACTGTTTACCCTACTTAAGATAGAATATTTTTTATAAACTACTTATTCTATACAGGCGTGTCACTTTGTAAAAATCTGAGGTATGGAAAATGGTGGCGCGATTTTCAAATTTGTTCGCATTACTCGTGGGGTATTAAGGTTTAAGAGTTTGCAGTGTATATACTCAACTTATTTATTGAACTATAAGATGTGGGGTATTGAGGTTTAAGGGCTTGCGATTTATTTATATGGGGTTTGTAGTAATATGCGATTTATTTCCTAATTTCAGCTATGGAATTCCATACCTTGAAAAACTTGAGGTATGGAGTGCTCCATACCTTCCATAGTGGAAGTGACACCCCTGATTCTATATATTTTATAACAAATATACAATCTTGCACACATTTTAATATTTCATTACCAATATTAGTAGGTATGAATTGGGGCTTCTGCGTCACTTGCTCTCGCTTCGCTCGAGCTACAGCCGCTGAAGGCCCCAATTCTCTCCATTAGAGGTCTAAATTTTTAGTCTAATTCTCGATCCGCTTTTTTTTATCTTTGCTCCATTTCTAATACTGTTTCATTCGGAATCTCAAATACAAATGGTTCAATAATATAACAACAAAATATGAAGGCTAATCTATTTCATCGTTAAAAATGCAAGGTGGTACAAATAACAGTTACTTTAATAATAAGTACTAATCGTTAACGATCTGAAACTATTTTTTTTCTTCTTCTCGAACACAAAGGTAGTTTAAATTAAAAGATGAAGTGTTTATTTACATATATTTTATTAGAAATCAAACAATCATTTTATTTTCAAAACACCATTTCTTAATACATAAAACATTTTTTAACGCACATATTTTCTTACGAGTAAAACAGTTATACAGTAAAGTATCTTTACAATAAAGTTCACAAAAAGTATTTAAATTGGGAGCTCCTAAGCAACTTATATCTATGATAGTATTATTTTCATCACAAATATCTTGCACCCATTTAATTTTTTCACATCCTTTTAAAAAAATCTTTTTATCTTTCAAATATGTCTTTATAATTCTGTGAAACTCTCTATAATTAACAAAGCCCTCACTTCATCGATACCCTCTGTGCTTTTAATCCAGCCAATTTGTTTTTTCTCTTCAGGAGATAGTGAAGTGAATGGGTAAGGAGATTTAATTAGGAATATATTGGCGTACTCTAGAGTGGCTATAGCAAACTCCTTTACTATAAATTCATTTTTGCTATTTTCGAAGCCTTGAAGATCGACGATTATTGTATTGCTATTCATGATATTTTCTTAACGATATTACTCAGTGGTTTGTATTAGAATATACAGTACAGCAGTTTAATATCAAGCAATAAGCGGTTGTCTGATCTGGTATTTCTTGGTCTGTCTCGATTTCAACTCTCACATAGATCGAACCTTTTAAAGTTTCG